TAAATGAACAGAGTATTGTCTTTGGAGGCAAAGCAAAGAAAGCAAGAACCAGACTAAAGCTGTTTTTCCAAACACTACTCAGGCAAAATCGGCTCGGGCCAGAGTGGGTTAACACGGCTCACTTCAGTGTAGTTTGTTCTCCCTGCCAACTCCATGACAAAAAGTGGATTTGCTCGTCATCGCATACGGGGGGACGGGGAGAAAGTGCCATTCACAAACACTTTCACTAACGCCTGAATGAGCACACTAAATTTAATGTTCATCAGACAAAATACGAACAAGTTAAGTTTGTGTTCATTAAAATATGATCGAGTTTGTGAATGATTGTTCAATGACCTCATTCAGGCACAACACTGCACAGGAAAACCAATGTTTTTGATCTTGATTCATCCACAAATTCAAGTTGGAGTCAAACCACTCAAAGAAGCGAAGGGACAACGGTGACAGAGGAGTTATGTGCCTGTCTTGTAACTGGAGAGTTGTGGGATTGAGTCCCACTAAGTTTGTAGCAGTTGTTGTCCTTGGGCAAGACACATAACATATGTTGCCTGCTGGCGTTGGTCAGAGGGTCTGGTGGACATCGGGACAGCTGGTGTGTTTACATGCGCATCAGAAAACCAAAGTAGTAGATTGGCATAAACTCCTTGCCTGGCCCTTCTTTCCAGCCACCGTACCCATACTTTCCTAACCTTGAAATGACAGTGGCAGCGACGCTTCATCAACAAAAAAAGTAGAAGCATTTCCTCCATTTCCAGTCTCTGGGTTTTTATTTCAATTTTTTTCTGACATGTTGACTGGGGGCTGCCATCTTGGAATCATGTGAGCTCAGCAGTTTGCTCTCGTGTGCGGCAGGCTTTAGGCTCCTTAAACACATGTAAACTAGGATAAACTCCCAGCTTACCATTCAACCTGGATTGATGTCGGTCAGTTCGCCCTAGGGCAGCTGTGGCTACGATGAGTACGTTTACATGCAGCCAATATCCAGGTTATGATCGGGTTAAGGTCGGCATTCGGGTTTCTGAGTTGATCAGAATAACCCGTTTACAAGCACAAATAGAAAGAGTTACCCCTAACTTGCATAACCCGATGTAAATGCGGACGTTGGTGTAGCGTCAGGACGTGTGGACTACGTCCAGACGCAATATGCGTCATTTCCGGTTCTTCTCGTTCCGGTATCCGTGAAAACAACAACATTTTTCCCAGTTCGGAAGAGATAGCGACCGCGTTTGTTTGCGCTTTAGTTTCTTCGTCACTCCGAAAGTGTGGTGCTGTGCCGCGACTCGCCATTTTGCTCCCAACTTGTTGTTTACTTCCGGAGTTCTGGTGCATACAAGATGTGTCGCTACTCAAAAGACCAAGATTCCTTGCGAACAGAGCATGCGCAGAACACACGCTTTAATGGGGATATCCCGATATGCGTTTACACGACCAAACATTCGGGTTAGAAAAGGGTTACCCCAGGTGTAGCAACCGGGTTTTTAAAAACCCGGTTATGAGCATATCCGGGTTTCTGGCGGTGTTTACATGGACCTGCGGAACCGGGTTATTGTGAATATTCGGGTTTTAAAAGGGTTACTGGCTGCATGTAAAGGCACTGATTGTAGCTCTTCAGTATCAGTGTGTGAATGTGTGCGTGCATGGGTGAATGACTGTTGTGTTTAGAAGAGCCTTGGGAGTTTGTAGGACTCTAGAAGGTGATATACAAATACAAGCCATTTATCTCATCAGATCCAAAAATATTCTAGATCCAATCCTCATAAGCCTCAATGCAAAAACTCAGGCCCAGAACCATCATATTTGTTATCATCACTCGTCAGTCAAACAAGAGAAGTCCAGATACTTTTTTAACTCTTGGGATTCGACTGTTACTTTATGTTTGCTTGTCTTTGGATGTGAGTCTATCGGCTGTAATGCTCTGTAATTTGAAAGTTTTTATTCTCAATATAAAATAGCAATGATATTAATACATTTTTGAGAATTTAATTGTTGATCTATTCGTTCCTGATACAACAGGAAAAATGAATGAAACTTTTCCTGATGTACCTGCCCTATTTTTGAGAAGGCACCAGTGCAACAGATGGATCCTTGTACTGTTTGTTTTCCAGAGGTACAAATGCCACCAGCTCTTAAGGGACTAAGGGTTGGTGCAAAACCACAGTGGTTGCAGTCGCTCATGATGGCATTCCCATTATTCCCAAGAATAGTGGAGCCTTTTTGTACTAAAATTTAGGGTTTAAAATGAACTTAAAATAATTTTTCTATCACAATCTGAGCTGAGATGCAGCTGGAAACACAAATGTCAACCTCTTTAAGATGGAGCTCAGTTAATTGAGCTGTTCATAACAGTGTAACAGAATAAAATCATGTGTCATTTCTGGTAAGATTTCATTGTTCTCAGGGACCTTAGTGTGTTGTATAGTCAGCTGCTCTTTGGTATTGTTTTGTAGCCTTGAGGCAGGGTGTGGCGGCTGGGTAAGACGAGATGATTATCCCCTTTTCTAGTGTTCTCATGCAGCCTGTGCTCACTTTCTACCTGCTGCATGTGTTTCAGGGTGGCAGCAGCATAAAATCTACTAAATGTGTGCACAGTTTAGTTCTGTTCATGCATGTCAGGGCCAACATGCTGGTGTGTGTGTGTGTGTTTGAGTGTGTGAGTGTGGTGACTGGAGGTGACCCATGCAGGAAAGGAGGAGGGGGAGGGTGCCTATTTACATTGGCAGCCACACAAGGGGAAATGAACTGACTTCAAAGTGAGTTTGCAGCTGAATTGTAAAGCGGGCAAGGGAGTCCTCTACGCATGAGCTGGCAGGCGGGCTCTGAAAACAGACGTTCCCAGGACTCAGCCATACCGGCTCACTTTTCTACAGTCAGGTCCATAAATATTGGGACATTGACACAATGCTAACATTTTTGGCTCTATACACCACCACAATGGATATCAAATGAAACGAACAAGATGTGCTTTAACTACAGACTGTCAGCTTTTATTTGAGGGTATTTACGTCCAAATCAGGTGAACGGTGTAGGAATTACAACAGTTTGCATATGTGCCTCCCACTTGTTAAGGGACCAAAAGTAATGGGACATTTGGCTTCTCAGCTGTTCCATGGCCAGGTGTGTGTTATTCCCTCATTATCCTAATTACAATGAGCAGATAAAAGGTCCAGAGTTCATTTCAAGTGTGCTATTTGCATTTGGAATCTGTTGCTGTTAACTGTCAAGATGAGATCCAAAGAGCTGTCACTATCAGAGAAGCAAGCCATCATTAGGCTGAAAAAAACAAAAGAAACCTATCAGAGAGATAGCAAAAACATTAGGCGTGGCCACAACAACAATTTGGAACATTCTCAAAAAGAAGGAACGCACCGGTGAGCTCAGCAACACCAAAAGACCCGGAAGACCACGGAAAACAACTGTGGTGGATGACCGAAGAATCCTTTCCCTGGTGAAGAAAACGCCCTTCATAACAGTTGGCCAGATCAAGAACACTCTCCAGGAGGTAGGTGTGTCTGTGTCAAAGTCAACAATCAAGAGAACACTCCACCAGTGTGAATACAGAGGGCTCACCACAAGATGTAAACCACTGGTGAGCCCCAAAAACAGGAAGGCCAGATTAGAGTTTGCCAAACAACATCTAAAACAGCCTTCACAGTTCTGGAACAACTTCCTATGGACAGATGAGGCCAAGATCAACTTGTATCAGAGTGATGGGAAGAGAAGAGCTAAAGCCCCATTCCCACCTGTACCGGGTCGGCCCGGGCCGGGTAGCGTAGTTTGTTTACATATCTGGGTGGCCTGGAATTTTCCCGGGCCAACCAAGGCTCATTCTCGGCCCTCTTCCCGAGGGGTACTGCTTCAGGCCGACCAGGGCCAACACGCCCACTGCCGACAGCAAATTCACACCTTCCATTAGAGCAAGCCTCTGATTGGTGGGTAGAATCAGCCCATTCACACCTTCCATTAGAGCAAGCCTCTGATTGGTGGGTAGAATCAGCCCACATGGGCTTAAGGCAAGGATGTGTGGAATCAACCGGGCCAGGCTGGGGCCGACTGGGGCTACCCGGCCCGGGCCGACCCGGTACAGATGGGAATGGCCCAATAGAGACAGAAAGGAACTGCTCAAGCATACCACCTCATCAGTGAAGCATGGTGTTGGAAGTGTCATGGCGTGGGCATGCATGGCTGTCAGTGGAACTGGTTCTCTTGTAGTTATTGATGATGCGACTGCTGACAAAAGCAGCACGATGAATTCTGAAGTGTGCAATATTATCTGCTCATATTCAGCCAAATGCCTCAGAACTCATTGGACGGCGCTTCACAGTGCAGATGGACAATGACCCAAAGCATACTGCAAAAGCAACCAAAGAGCTTTTGAAGGGAAAGAAGTGGACTGTTTTGCAATGTCCAAGTCAATCACCTGACTTGAATCCGATGGAGCGTGCATTTCACTTGCTGAAGACAAAACTGAAGGGAAAATGCCCCAGGAACAAGCAGGAACTGAAGACTGTTGCAGTAGAAGCCTGGCAGAACATCACCAGGGATGAAACCCAACGTCTGGTGATGTCTGTGTTCCAGACTTCAGGCTGTAATTGACTGCAAAGGATATGCAACCAAGTATTGAAATGTATAAGTTTGATTTATGGTTCTTATTCCGTCCCATTACTTTTGGTCCCTTAACAAGTGGGAGGCACATCTGCAAACTGTTGTAATTCCTACACCGTTCACCTGATTTGGATGTAAATACCTCAAATAAAAGCTGGCAGTCTGCAGTTAAAGCACATCTTGTTTTTTTCATTTGATATCCATTGTGGTGGTGTATAGAGCTAAAAATATTAGCATTGTGTCGATGTCCCAATATGTTTGGACCTGACTGTATGTCACCCTCAGCCAATTGAATAACCATTTAAGCCAAAGTTGATTGTTTTTTGTTGAAGGATTTGATGAACATAAAAAAGTTTCTTTACCAACTTAACAGCAGCTGCTCTGTTTGTGTGACACAGGGATGCTGCAGAGACGACCCACCATAGAGGACTTTGTGGACGCTCTGGTGTCCGAGCTCAACCCGAACTTTGAAACCTTCTTCTTGGACTCTGAGAGCTGAAAGATGACAGGAACTAACTTCACGTCATGTTTTTTTAATCATTGTACACATATTTAATATACTTTCTGAATGTTCCCGTCTGTATAATTGAATGAGAATGGAAGATTAGTTATAAATCATGAAACTCCCCATGTGTGGTTTGTGTTTTGCACTGGTTGTTTTCATCTGCTCTGGGCTGCCTCGTCTCATTGTTAATTACATTTTAGCAGCTTTATTACTAACTAGTGCTTGAACACACATTTGTTATTCAATATCATTAAGAAGCCTCTCCCTTTTGTCCTTATGCTTTAATTAGATTATCATCATGTTGCTTGTTAAGACTCATTCTTCTGCCCACATGGCAGCAGAACATTGTTTTTTCCTGCTCAAATGAGCAAGAGGAACACTTAATCTGTTCTTCCTGTCATACTGTCATTGTTTGGGCTGAGTTAATACCGCTCCCTCTGTTTTGTCTGTCAGGAGTGTGTGTGGGTGGGGGGTCGACTCACTGGCCATTTATTAAGGTACATCTTACTCGTAAAGGGCTGAGCTCCTTTTTGCCTTCAGAACTACCTTAAATCTTCATGTCATGGGTTCAACAAGGTGGTGGAAAAATTCCACAGTTCTGGTCCATACTGGCATGACATCACACAGCACCATCCATGAAGGGGAACCACCTGTTCCACCACATCTCAAATGTTCTGGACTGAGATCTGGTGACTGAAGGTTGTTGGAGTCCAGTAAACCCATTCTTATTAAATGGAAACCAGGTAGAGATGATCTGAGCTTTGTGACATGATGCATGATTCTGCTGGAAGTAGCCATCAGAAGATGGGTCCGTTGTGTCGTAAAGGGAGGGACATGGTCCGCAACAATGCTCAGATAGGCTGTGGGGTTTAAACCAGGCTCAGGTGGTGCCAACAGGATAAACTTGATTTATGATCACCAGTGATTTAGAATCTGATATGTTCTCAGGTGCAGAAACAAATCTTTAGTCGGTTGTTTCCCTGCAGAATGTCACCTTTTAAACACACTGAATTTGACAACGTAAAGGAGTAAAAGCCCAGTGAAGGAAGGGGTTTGTAAGAGTGACTCAGACGCTCCAGATCAACCCTTACGAGTGTGTTTTCATGTTTCAGGCAGTAATCATGAGCTGAGCTGGAACTGCAGCTGCTCCCTGTAACATTGTCTCTGCTTGCCTTGCTCAGACCCGAGGCTGAGGCGAAGCTTCTCATGGTAGCTGAAGGTGTGAGCACGCCTTCGGAGAGTCTGAGCATGCTGGGTGGTTCTCATCACACTGAGACCGCCATTAGGCTCAACATCAGAGTAGGACACCGTTTTTATTTCCAGTGTTTCTTTGCCTTTTTTTTTTTTACTTCCAGTTGAACTCAGAACAAATATATCACAGGAAATTAAAATTCAGACACATTTAGGAAAGGTTTACAACAAGTGGAAGGATGATCAGCAAATGTGCGAGTTCTTTTTCTTAACTAGATCCGATTGTCAGTGGAAGAAAGTTTTCAATAAAGATAATTTACAACAGTAATAAAGTAATCTGATAAAGAAAGGACAGATTTAAGATTTACTTTGTAAAAGGTTTTTGTTTAGTCCTCCAGCTACCAAGAGGTAGAGTAACAGAACAGTAAAACACAAATTCATAAAAAATGCTCGTTCAAGCAGGTGATCTTGTTCAAGTGGTTTATTTACAGCAATAATACAACAAACACTAACTGGTGTGAGGAAGGCCAACACGGGGTCACGTCTACAGTCGGTTAGAAAAATATTCACCTATTTACTATGATACAGTATCTACATGGCGTTTATCGCTTCGACATTCCTCGTCTTAACTCCACATCATCAGGATTGCCTTCAAGGTGCAACGTTATCATTTCACTCTTCAAACTGTCACTTTTTTCACACGAAAGCTTCATAACACCAGCTGGCTGCAGGACGAGCGGCACAGTTTACGTTCTCCTACATGTGAAGATGCAAAAACACTCTTGAGGTGGCGCAGAGGCTCACTTTGATTCACGGTCACAAGTCATTGAGCCACGACTTCATAAGATACAACCCTGTGGGTAGAAGAGTTCACATTGTGTGTGTGCGTGCACGCGTTTGTGGACACAGGTGAGTAATCTGAGAGGGAATCGGGTAGTGGCTGTTGTTCGGTCAAGGCTGGAACACAAGCCGTAGAAATCCAAGTCATCCTGGGAAAAGAGCAGGAAGAGCGGAGATTAGGGACTAAACCCCACAGCTTCATCCATCCTGTGTGTTTGGACCAAATTCCAATATTAGATCCTGTCTTCTCAGGTCCGTGTCAACGTGTCTGCTCACCTTCCTGCGTCATGACTTGTTAGGGTAGAAGTGCATCAGTTACGTCGTTGCTACAGTCCTCACACCTCCTCCCCGATGGATCCTCTCCTGACACGGACCCTCCCTCTTCCTCCTCTCCTTTAAGTCCTTCAGCATGTCCAGAAATGGACTGAGGAGGCTCAAAATAATCAGAAGGTTCAAAACCACCTCCTCTCCTGACATCTCCCCCACACTCGGGGCCATCTTCCAGATGCCTCGGGGTAACCTCCTCGTTCAGGTGTGCGTTTCTGTGGAGCAACAGATAGAAATCAGCTGCTATCATAATTGGTGGTAACACCCTGTTGCTTCTCTCTGATGTCAGCACTTCAAACAGACGCGTTTGGATGGAGTAATCAATCATTACAGAAGTATGAAGAGAGGTGAGGGAGAACACCGGCCTCGAGGCGGTAACGCAGCTAAGCGTTGAACTGGATGCTGGTCTCGCTGCAGGCTTCTCCGACATCATTATGCAGAGCCGCGGGCAAAATTCAGGTCAGATTATAAAAATAACCATCAGTCGGTTTGGATGAATGTAACCTTTTTCTGTTTAACCCTCTCAGGCTCAAAATAAGTTTTGATAAAAGGACGAACAACTAAGTACTTCAGGGGTACTTCCGAGTTAAAAAATGCTCATGAAATACGTATGTGGGGTAACCAGGTAGTTAGGTTTTAACTGTTGCAAATCTGCAACGCCTGCCTCCAGAGGGTTAAAGTTTTAGAGCAAAATGATGATTCAAGCTTCAAGTTACTTATTTGCATGAGACCCGTTCTAAGTGTGACTATTCCTGGAAGTTTTGGGAATGTGTCTTACATCCACACGGAGGCTAAAGATGTGTTGCAGTTAAATGTGCAACTAAAGCCCTTTTCAGACAGACATTCTGGAACATTTGCAGACAATTCAATCCGGTTTTTAACCGGAACTGTGTTTTCAGACACACCACTTTTGTACCGGAACTTGTCCTTTCGGCTGCGTTCACACAGCAGGGAAAAGTTCCAGGTGTCTGACGGCGGCGGGGGGTGGGGTGGGGGGGAATCGGACTTATGTTAAGAAGAAGAAGAAGAAAATATCATTTCTATAGCACCTCTCAAGATAAAAATCACGAGGCGCTTAAGCATAATTCTGCGCACACGAAGACGCATAAGAGACCTGGATGATGAAGCTCAATGGTTAAAGGAATCACTGAAGCGGTGTGAAGCGTTTCGTTGCGCGTCTAGACGGTACCGTAGGAGGCGAGCTGCCATGGTTCGCCGCATGCTACAGCAGCGGGCTATATAGGTGTGCACAGCGTCCCCCGGTCCCCTCCTCCTCCCCCTCCCTCTTGTCCGGAACTTTACCTCACCAGTCTGAAGCAGCCACCCTGTCCGTAACAAGTCCGGACCTGTTACTAGGGGCTTCGTCCGGATAAATTCCGGAACACGTTATCCGGATGTTTGTATTCAGACACAAAGGTCTTACGGACAGATTCCGGAACATTTCCGTTTTTCATGGCCTGTCTGAAGGGGGCTTAAGTTGAGCTACGACAACAATCAGGCTAATACCTTAACCAGAATGAGAGCCTTTATCCTAGTTTACATGTCAGTTGAAAAAACCAAATTACTGATTGAAGTGTGTATGGCTCTGCAACAGTAGGTGGCGACATACACCCTTCTGAGCGTGAAGCAGACGACGTAAAAGCAGGATATACAAAGAAATGGACGACGACTACGCCTGCAGCATCGTGCATTTGTTACCGTTTGACAGTGTTACACATCAGATTGACACAGTCTTGTGGCGATGAGCACCACCTCCGCGGTTCCGGGCCCAGGCCGGTCATTGCTCGGATGAGCTGGGATGATGTTTACATACAGAGAAGTTTGGTTTTCCAACTACATTATCTCAATTAGTAATCCAGTTCAGTTCCACGTTTTAATATTATTGAGTGTTTATTGCGGTAGTCTCCTCACCCATCACTCAGACTCATCTGGGACTGGAAGGGACTGATGTCCCGACTGCGGCCCAGACTGCAGCTCTCCTCGCAGCACAGAGATGGGATCAGGTGGACCGGACCTAAAAAGCACAAACAGAACTAAGAAAGTCCCTCAGCCTTCACCATTAGAAGATCTGAGCCACTTAGCAGTATTAAAGCATATGTGTCATGAAGGTCATGTTGATCCTCAACTGTTCAGTCCAAACCACTACCTACCACAGGTGTGTTCTGGGCCCAGCTGACACTGGCAGCAAGGTCTCTGGGGGAAGTCATGGAGCCAGCGGGCATCCAGGCAGGAGAGCTCCGCCCCCAAGTAAGGACAGTCCTGGGACCTTAAAGAGGCTGAACAAAGAGAGAACGTGAACCAGTAAAATATGTATAACAATAGAGTCAGAGAACCCCATTTGTGTTGTGATCAGATTTATTTTAAACGACGTTTAAAGAATCTCTGTTAGTATCTTAGCGGCGGCTCTGACGAAGCACAGAGCTACCACTAGCAATATGATTAACTCCAGCGTGCCTTCAATCTGCTGAAAGCCACACAAAAACATGACAACAGCTAACAGGTAACGCCTTGATGGGCTCTACAGGGCTCTTTGTCCCTGATGAGTTTACCAGGGGAATATGACGTCGTTAAATTGTCGCCCCGGGACATTTCTCATACTTAATCACTTCTGGCCTCATGAATGCTGATCGTTATGCAAGTTCCCACAAATATGCACCATAAGACTAGAGAGGAGCTTAGCGCTGTGCCCTGTTGGTGAAGTTAAGAGAAGCACTGGCTCCCTTTTCTCTGGCTTTGTTAGGACCTGAGCACTCCCTTCTTTTTTTTTTTTTTACTTCTGACATCTTTTAGATTACAAATAATAACAATAAAGGGCTCTTAGATTAAAAGTGACCAGTGAAGAAAGACAGAATAGCCTGTGAGGATTATCTCCATCTCACTGGCATTGTTTGATGTTTGCTTTGGACTGAACCACACATCTACTGACTGTATTGTAATACCAGCACCTGCTGCGGGGTTTAGAGTTGGATGTTTGCAGAATAAAGAAAACCAAACAAGTGACAGATGTGTTTGAAAAGATAGAATGACTAATATGTAAGAAAAAGAAACTGCTTTGCAGCATGTGGACTGACCGCTGGGCTTCTTCTCCAGCAGCTGCCTCTTGCAGTAGATGACACACAGAACCAGCAGCGCCAGCAGAACTGTAGCCAGAGCGCTGCAGATGACAGCAGCCAGCGCCATGTCCCGCGGGCTGGTCACCGATGGGGGAATGGGTACCAGGTTCACTCGCCCACTACCTGCAAGGAGAGAGAGAAAGGAGAGGTGAGGATGAAGTCATAAGTGTTGAGAGGAGATGTGCAGAGCTTTCAGCTAGTGCTGATTCAGGCTAATAACGAGGGCACTGATGCAGAAGAAAACAGCTTTACTCTTCAGAGTAATTGATTCTGTTGCGACTCCAGAACAACACATTTTAGCTCGACTCTAATGAGATGAACCAAGCAGCTCAAAGAGAAAACGCCTGTGGAGGATTCTCCTGTCTTCTTCTCAACAGAAGATGATTTACAGACATGATCTCCCCCTGCACCACCTCCAGGACCCGAGTCAAACTGGACCGTCACGCTGGCGTGTGGACAAATTTCATGATTAAACCGCTCCTCCTGTCTGAGATGAAGTGTGATGTGTGTCCTCCCCCCTCCATCAGGACCCTCAACTCATGAAGACTTTAAGCACGCAGCTCATTTTGCAAGTTCACACAGACGCACAGCGTCAGGGCTTAATCCGGCTGTAAGCGAAAAATCACATCAGACAGATAAAGTGGGGAGGCTGCCTATAGTCTACCGCCTGCGGCACATAATTATACATTTCATGAAATTAAACACAGCGGAGATAAAAGCAGAAGGGATGATTTATAGGAACACTTCACACAAAACAGCGAATCCTGTAAATTCATTTAGATGTGTGATTGGTCTCCATGCAGACTGTTGGTGAAGATTTTCTAGAATCTTAACGTGTAAAATTCCTGTTTACTTGTTTTAGAAATGGTCTGATACAAAAGCTGATTTTGCAGAATGTGCATAAAAAGCATAAAAACAGGCCTTTGGAGATGAACAGAGGACACCGTCTCTACTTTTGTCAGTTGGTGTAAAAACGTTCCCCGGTGATACAAACAAGTTAGGAAAAGCCTGAACTACTCAGGGAGCTGAGCCGCAGTGAGTCCTGCCTCTGCTGAGCCTCGTGTGCAGGAGGACAGAAAAAGTCTACAGCCTCCAACTCAGAGACAAGTTTCTCTAAGTCCATGCACGAATCCCCCCCCCCCCCCCCCCCCCCCCCCCGCCGATCTTGTCTAGCTGTGCATGCTAGTTTTAGGGTGTTGGTTGATGCAGAGATCACTCAGAATGGCAGGTTTAATGAATGACTTCTTGTTTGAATCAGTTAGCTCTGATGTTTGCTTTTCAGTATATTAATCATAAAGGCAGCTAGCATCAGCCTTTTCACATTCAAGAGCTCTTTGTTTAGCCGTGAAAACACTTTGTTAGCTTTGGGCACTTTTTTCTCCTCAGACAGATAGGGGATCGGGGTATTTTAACATTCCTTCCAGTGGGGAAAAAAAAGATGAGAAACCCAAAGCAAAACCAAGTCTGATGTGAGCACTGAAAGCTGCGTGGAAACAGCGTAAAAACGGGTGCAGGAACCAAGGTCGTTGCAGAGCTTAAACCATACGAGTTCCTGTTTATACAGACATGTTTGTATTTGAAGGCTTTCCCTTCAGCAGGGCTGATAAACTCGTGTTTGCTCTGAATCCTGCCGGTCAAACTGGAGAATAACGTATAATCTCAAACCGCCAATGAACATCATTAAAGTGCTGGATGTACACAGATGTTTAATAACACCATGGTGGGTGTCGGTGTTTGGGACTAGCAGCGACTGCTGATATCTGACCATCAGATTCAGCTCATCCGAGGTGAGCATCAACACAAAGGAAGCCTGTTATCGGAGAGCCGGCAGCTGCAGCAAACACAGATAAACACTGCACCATTGAACAAAGCTCACCTGCTGATATTGTCTCCACACAAACCAGACCAATAAACCACAGCCTTTCACAAACTCTCCTGCCTTGTTGACTTTATGGAATGCCAAATGATGAAGCACTTCTTTACACCTCAAACGGATCCGTGACTTTCGTCTCTACACACTCGTTCAAAGGCGCCTTTTAGTGCGGCTGAGCACCATTTCACTGTGAACTACAGGGAACAAAGTCTGCAAATGCACATAAAATCTGCAATTTTACTTGGATTATTAATAATTACTGATAAAAAATAGAATAATTTATTTCGGAGCAGAAAAAAATGCAATTTAAATGAATTGTCTGCTGCAGACGTGATGCTGCTTTAAAAAGCCAGAGGTTCTTCTGTTTTTGCTTTCTTGTCACATTTTAACCCCTTGTGCACTATTCACTTGAAACCACGTCTGGTCCTAAAGCATCCAGATGGAGTATCAGGATTAGTACCTTCATCACAAAGCTGCCATATCCAGTCCTATGCATGTCCTGTGTGGTGGATCTACAGGTGGCATTTTATTTCTTTGTTAATGCTGTATCATTAGATAATTGGTCATTTTATATTTGTCACGTTAATATTAGCCAATGAGTAGCTCATTTTTAAAACCACATTTTAAAAAAAAAGTATTGTTTTCTAATTTAAGGCTTAAAAGTTTCAGGAAACTAATTTCAATATCAAAGACACTCAGAGTAAATGTAAATGCAGTTTTCATACGGTAGGGTTTAGAAATCACATGAAGTCGAGAACAAAAGAACACAGAACATCTAAGGGGCTTCAGGCCTCACCTGTGGTCAGGGTCAGAGGTCATTCAACAATAAAAAAAGAGGACTAAGAAGACAAAAATGGAATTTTCTGGAAAAAAAACTAACTCCTAATTTCAGATAAACAACATCATAGCAGCAGACATGGCGAGGGTAGTGCGGTGGTCTTGGGCTGCTTCAGGACAAATTGCTGTAACTGATGGAACCATGAATTCTGCTTTCTACCAGAAAATCCTGCAGGAGAATATCTGACCTTTGACCTTAAACAGACCGTTCATGCTGCTCCAATTTGGCTGAATTAAAACAATTCTGTTAGGAAACGTGGAACTAAACTTGGTAAACGGCCTGTATAGCGCCTTCTTAGCAATCTACAACCCCCCAAAGCGCTTCACAACACAGCTAGTCATCCACCCATTCACACACACGTTCATATGCTGGTGATGACGAGCTAAGACAGCCACAGCTGCCCTGGGACACACTGATGGAGGCGAGGATGCCGAGCACAGGCGGCACCGGTCCCTCCGACCACCACCACCATTCAAGGTGAGTTAAGTGTCTTGTCCAAGGACACAACAGCATTCTCTGGCGGGAGCGGGTATCGAACCTGCAACCTTATAATTACTGGACAGCACACTCTACCTCCTGAGCTACTACTACCCTTCACAGTTATAAACATTTCACTATCGTTGTTTTCTCCTAGATTTTTACAACCAACATTCAGATTTGGGGTTAATCACGTTTTCCTTTAGGACCAGGTTGGCTTGAACTGATGTTACATGAGTTCATCATTTTAAAGCATTTTGTTTTTACTCGTGCCATCTCTCTCTGATAGTGAATATTATTTGTTATCTGGAAGACTTCAGTGCGGGACCCAAAAGCAAAAGCAGCTTTTCAGCAGTAAGGGATGTTTTCACATCACATCACTGTTTATTTCACACACAAAAGGTGGTTTAAACCTTTAACTGCCATGGCTCATTACCTGTTGTTTCTAACAGGACCAAGCAAACAAAACGGCAGATTTCAGGTCAAATGATTAAATGTCACAAGCATTAAGCTCCAGGGTTATATTAGGCTACATGCTGTGGTTGGACAGAGACAACAGATCTGGGATCAGCAGACATCCTGATCCCACATCTGATTGTCTTTGTGAACGTGCATCTGAACACATACACTCGTAGCTGCTTTGGTCGTCGTTTACAGCATGTGTTTTATTTTTCTATGGCTGCTGTGTAATTTGAATTATTAATCCGAGTTTACAAAAAGCTCCAAAACTGAATCTTATTGGAAACAAAGAAATTGATCAGAACTCTGTAATTTCATCCATGAAAGAATGAAAAGCAAATAAAAAGTTTAAACCACTCAAACTTACTTATTGAGTTGGATGCAACAAAATATTTGAAAAGTTGTTTAAAGCTGGAAAAAATGTACCTTCTGCTATGAAAAAGTCTGAATGAACATACTTTTTTATTATTTTGTAGACAGATGTCAGTGGATGGAAAACTAAGTAAGCTACCTGATATTTTATGACCGTTTCCACGCTGTGATCTGTGTTTAATAAACCAAAGCCAGATGAAACTCTGTCTGATGTTTGCACAACTCCTCTGGTAATAAGCCCGGCTCAGGAAGCAGCTACAGAGAGCAGATGTGTCTGCTCGCTGCTGCACTCTGTGATTCACCAGGACAGTGAACGACTTCAGCAGATGAAACACATTAAAGAGGTTAAAGGAATACATAAAACACAACCTCATTTCATCTCAGCTCCAAAAAGCCACTGAGGGAAAAGGGGGAGGAGAGGGAAAAGAAGGGGGGTTAAGATTTACAGTCCACCCCAGACGGCGACTGCCTCCCTCCTGCACAGCTGCACCGATGCCCCGGGACAGTGTGATCTGCCTTTAAGTTTTCACCACCCTCCTCAAGATAACGGGGGTGGGGGGTGGGGGGGGGGGTTCAAACATTTGGAAATGCTCCACTGAGAGTCCCTGTAGGAGCTAACTACCGGCTATGTTCCCAGACACAATGGGCATTTTGTTTCTCAGGCCTCCTCTGGTATCAGAACGGGAAGTGGCGCAGATGGACAAATGAGGAGACAGAGGGAGTCGAGTTGTCTCAAGGTCAAAGCAAACATACATGTTCCTTTTTTTTTCCTAATCCAAGAGTTTACAGAGCCAAAGAGAGAGTTAAAGGCCCGATGTGCAAAAGGAGCTCATTTTAGAGGCTGTGTGCTTGTTTAAACACAGAATCAGGACACCTCCAGAAACAGCCGCTGCATCGTCTGCCAGCAGGAAGTCACACTCAATTACCAAAGGTAGAAGTTCATTTGCTTGTTGGTTTTATTTGGAAACCTGAAATCATGTGGTTGTGTTTTAACTACTTACAAAAGCCAGAAGGAAGAAGTTAATTGGATCTGCTGCTGGCTGGAATGTGAGCGCTGCTCTGTGAACATATTGCAACACAACTCTAGTGCTTTTTTGGCATGATGGTCATAAATTAGGCTGCTTGAAGCAACACACTCTGGCTAATGTGTTGGGTCAAAAACATCGAGGTGCAGCTGCTTCTTGGTTAATTCGATTTGTGGAAAAGTGTTTGGCTGTCTCATTCTCCAAAAATCCTCCAACGTTTACTCGTTTAATCCAAACTCAGAATGTTAAAAAACAGACTGACAACTTAATCCCACGCTGGCAACCCCACCGCGCGCGTGTGTGTGTGTGTGTGTGTGTGTGTGTGTGTGTGTGTGTGTGTGTGTGTGTGTGTGTGTGTGTGTGTGTGTGTGTGTGTGTGTGTGTGTGTGTGTGTATATATCCATTTCAACACCTAAGCTTGTGGATCCACACATTAATTTGAGCATATACCTGGCTGCTTGGGCTCTGTGAGGCTTGCTCCACCCTATAAAAGTTGTGGTTCTGGTTACTCCGAGGTCCTTGTGCTGGCTTGTTGTGTGTGTGTGTGTGTGTGTGTGTGTGTGTGTGTGTTGCTGGGGCACCACAGCCTGGGTTTTGGTTCTAGTAGCATTTGGCTAAGAGTTCGGTGCTTTCAGACTGTTGCATCCCTGCCGTTTCATGTTAAAACACCTCCTACGGTGAACTGGGACTGAGTGGACTGTTTCGTGGGGATATTTCTGGCTCAGTGTCAGAAAATGACAAAAGCGCTTACAGTTGGGCTCATAAGGAGGTGGAGGATCCCCGCAAGGTATGCACTTCATGTCTTGGAATCCACTCAATTTTGTCTTCCTGTAATATCTGTCGAGGAGATGAGATTATATTGTTTAATAAACAAAACAGAATGTTTTCATTGTTAAACCACGTGTGCTTCTTGCACTAATCTCTTACCCCGGCAGACAATCGCCACACACGGCGTTGCTGGTGGAGGAGCAGTTGCCCTTCTGGTAGCGGTTGATGGGTCCGCAGTCCAGGCAGGGTTTGCACTTCTGCAGACTCCGGTCCTCTTTGAAGCGGCTGCTCCGGCAGGGCACGCACCGGGCATCCTCTCCATAACCAAAGCCACATTCCTAGAAGGATTAATGGGAAAAATACACCGGAGTAAGAGGTGGGGTTTGAGTGATGTGTGGATGCTGAAAAGGAGAGGGTTTGAATGCAAACTACTGGGGGTCTTGGAGGAGAGACTGATCTCGGGTCTCGGGATCAGAAGCGGACAATGGCCTGCCTCTTTTGAGAGTCCATCTAACACTGGCAATAATCTCCCTGACTCTCTGAATGAAAGAGCTGCCTTCCGCTGCAGGACCTCAGAAAGGACACGCATTTGAATGACAAAGCCTCCAGGGGACACCCACTGTTGTATTATAGTTTATGGCTGCGTTCTTGTACACGACTCCCTCTCCTAGCAGACACAGAGAGCATCCCGCTGAAGGGAACGTTTCAGGAAGAGGGCGTGGATTATGGAAGAGTAGAAGGAGAGAAAACCCGATGAATCCTATTTCTGTGCTTGCTGCTTTCCTGCAGAGGTGTGAATGATCTAATGTCCTTCACCTGAGCCGACCTTGTATTTTATACATTAAGGCCAAACATAGTTTAGGATGCTGCATGCGTCATCATACACTGATCATTTGTTATCAGCAGCTGAGCTCCAGTAATCCAGCGCTGCCACACGGTGCTCCAAATCCTGCAGGACAGGTGGGAGCATGGCGCTTGTACATCATTAAAGTGAAGGTCAGCTTCAAACAGAACTCCTCTGGTCTCCTCTCTCTCCTCGCCCGTGTCCCGTTTCACTGCCCTGGCGTGCGGTCCGGCTGGAATGTGGGCAGAGGACTCCGATACCGGATCTGGCTTTAGAAGAAATAAAAATGGAGGTTGAAGGCAAATATGTGATCTTGCGATGGCACCGCTAAGCAGACGAGGAATTTGGTCCTTCCAGCCAAACACATGTGAGCCTGACACTGAGCCCCCCAGGCCGCGCCTGGCCAGGTGGCCCCGCTTGGATCGTTCTATTGCAGCTGCTCCAGTAAACCCACCATATAAGGCCTGAGCCTGCAGCAGGGCAGAGCAGGGAACCCTAGGAGGGAGCGGATAGGGGTGACTGATGAGTGATGAAGGGGATTAAAGAAGACTTTGATGCTCGTATTTTCATGTCGTCATCCGGCTTTTCTTGAGACGCACGTTCGGATCCGAAGCAGGGGGAAAGGCTCTGGGGAAAGCAGTGCAGGATTCTGCTTGGTGACCCAGTTCTGCATGAAGGAAGGGGCCCCTGGATGATTGGGCCCAGAACTGGCACAGGCTCTGTCCATGGGGCACCGTGTGGAAGACTGGGTCTGCGCAACGTACAAACAAGCCTCGATCAAGTAATCTGTAAAACTGAAGGAAACAACCAGAGATTTTATGAAGAATCAAAACGTGGTGCAAAATTTAAATAGTTAAATCTCTCGGCCTAAAAAGATGCTCAACGTCTGGCTCCATGCACGACCTCTCTCCTGATCTGGGTTTGGGTGAAACTGCCAAACTAAACAGCTGAGTAGAAGAGAGCGAGGGGGCGAGTTGTCTGAAGCGTGTTCAGACACACAGATATTCCTGAGATTAGAGAGGATCACATGATGGTGGAGACCGGTCATGTGATCCTGGGACAAATCAGACCAAAGTTCTGCTCATGATCTCAAACCTTCCATACTTGTGCCTGGGTGTCGGACGGTCTTTTGATCTAGGAAGTAGCTTCGTGAAATAAGACGAAGACACATTAAAGTTGTGTGTTCCTGCTTTATTTGGCCTCTGGTAGTTTTCTAGAACGCACAAGAAAGTTGGCAACTCCTTCCATAGCCAACCAAGTGGCTGCCTGAATAAAACCTGGAATGAAATACGTCAGGGAGAGAAAGGGTGACTGGTTTTAATGGACGTTCCCTCTGTGTGGGTGGCTCGTTCAGCTACAGTTGCGTGGCGGGGCTAATTGATGTTTGTCGGACGGCCTCAGTGCTTCTTCCAGAGGCAAACTTCCAGAGCAAACTGGGCCACATTCCTTAGAGATCTCTATGGCAGCTGCACAGAGGGACTCCAAAAGTCTGCTTTTCCCTCCCCACCGGTCAACCCTGGCCTTTCAGAGCCAGTTCAGGTTACTCTCAGATCACGAGATGTGGGTCTGAGAAACGTTCTGCGGGTCCAGAGGCATCCCGCTACCTTCAGAGAAAAGAGTGAGGCAGCCAATTATTAACCAGGACCCCAGGGTGGCTACAGCAGCACTCACGCCTGCTGAGCCGGAGGAGCACTGGAGCGTATTACTGAGCACACAGAGCATGTTTGCCTGCTCAGAGATGAAAGGCAGCTGGACTTAAATGCATGTGGGAAACAGATGTAAGAGGAGGTGACACAGCGTTTGCATCTGCTCCTACAGATGCAGCCACGTGTGGAACCACCTAAAGTCTGTTTACCGGTGAACACGTCCCAGCCTTTGAGAAGATAAAACAGTGCCATCAAATCTCATAAGGAATGTGTGGATGGTAAATGTTATCACTGACCAGCGCTGACAGAGGAGCGGTGACGTGGTGAACACGTCATCGTGAACCACTGGACGGATTTTAATTCAACTTTTAGGACCTGACCTCTGGCTGTTAATCTACACCTGCATCTAGGATCTCTACAGGTTGCTGTTTCACACACATCTCCTCTTAATCAAACAAACTTTCTCTGGACGTTGAGGAAAAATGTCAACGTTTTCACCTCGCTGCACCAGCTGCAATAAAAATATTTACGGAGATCTTTTCCCCTCTTTGCCACCAGTTTACTCACCTTTACATCAGTGCCTACGCTTGCAAAAGGGAGTTGGTGCATAGCTGCTGGTGAAGAGGAGAGCCTTTTGCTTTCCAGCCCTAACTGACACTACAGAGGCCTGTTTGTACAAAGCACAAAAACCTGTGGCTAAGGGGGTGGAAATAACTGTATTCTCTGCTGAGAGCAGCGGCAAGCTTAGGCATGGCTCGCTTCAGAGGGTGAAGACAATAAGTTGGACGGCGAGCGATTGGGAAAAACAATGGAAGCTATTCAGCGTCAGGTCAAAAAAGTATGGGTGTGACTGATTAAAGGGGTCTGTGTTCTACAGGAACCAACAACGGTTTATAAAAGACAGGAAGCAATAAATAACCCAACATGTCCAAGCAACGTCCAGTCTGCTTAATCACCGTGTCCTCCCAACGACACTCTGAGGTTATTCTGTCTTTTGTGAGACGGACAGGTGAGTGAATGGTCCAACCTTAGAGAGCTCCTGTCCTGCGTCACACTGTTTGCAGGGCTTGCAGCTCCCAAAGCGGTCCTTGTACTCCTGTTCCCTGCACTCTCTGGCCTCCTCCATGGCTCTCACATGAATCTGGAGGGGGATGAACATTTGGTGAAAGTTATTAGATTCCTGTACATCACCACCACCGTGATCCGCAGCAGATGATGCAGACTCATCCCACAGCTGCACACCACTTTGTCTCATAACCCTTCCTCACCACTGGCTCCTCGTGAAAATAAGTCTGCAACAGCTGGGGTGAGATAAGATCGGACTTTAATGAGTCCCGTGGGAAGACTTTATAGCTGGCAACAATACAGGGGTCACAAAAAGCAGAGAGCCGGGATAGCAAATACAATCAGAACCATGGAACAGATCGGAGTAAAATGATCCTCTTTTGGATGTGCAGTTTGTGCAAAGACTAAAAACGTATCAGAATTTGTTCTTGCATAGGGGACGTGTGAGTGTGCATGGCAGATACTCGATTAGCAGCATTTACCAGGGCTGGACAGATGAGCTGTGCTGCTAGAAGGAGAGACCAGGTGTGTTGAAGCCTCCAGAACATCTTGATGGGCCACTTGCTGCCTACAGCGGAGAGGAAGACTCACTTCAGCATATTTCTTGATAAAAACACCATTACTAATAAAGAGAACTAGTTTTCAGAGCAGAAATCTTTTTTTCTTCATTACAGAAACACTGCTGACAAAAGCTAAACCATCTGGGACATTGTTGTAAACGTAATGAAAACACACACCTGTTTTTGTCCTGAGTTTATATATGAAAAGTCTGCTTCTTTTTTCTGATACTGCTGACTTTGGAAAGAAATTCAGAAAACAGCGTGTAGTGAATTATTAACTGAACGAGTGTGCATTTCCTCAGAAAGCTGGTAAAAGATGCTGCGTGTCCCTTCAGATGATGGCTGTGGATCTTAGTTGTTATTTAATCCAACACGTTTCTTTCTCTGAGAAGGAAGAGTTTCTCCTGATGAACAGAGATGATCCAGGTCATGTTTAACCTACAGATGTCCGTCGTCACAAACCTCCTCACTTTAGAATAAAAGAGGTTTCCCCACTACACCCTTAACAGATATAACCACCGTACAAGATAGCTGTTAATGACTCTCTGAGTGGTTTTTTCTCCTCACTGCGCTCTGCTGCAAACCAGCGAGTCCTAAACCAAACACAACGCGTCTCTTACCGGAAAAACGGACGGGAGCTCGCCGGTATACGTTGTTCAAAAGTCGACAGCAGACCGGTGAGAGGTGTGCTGGAGCGTTTCCCGCACCGGTCCGCTCACCGTGTCGGTCCTAAACAGCCCCGGACAACGCGAGCCGCCCCAGCTCGAGCTCTCAGCGCTGAGATCAAAGGCGGAGGCGGGGGGGCTGGCTTTGTGATCTGGAGCGCGTGGATCTGATCTGCGATCAGCCAGGCGACTTCAAAGAGTTGGTCTCGCGCGCGCACCTACGCTACCATTCATACCACTGAGTGGTTAAAGTTAGTCATCTTTATCAAGGATAGAAACTCAAAGGAAAAATGATCTAAAATATATGCAGAAAAAAACTAGCGCGCGCCCGTGTGAATTTGTTCAACTGCTCATGTTCACTATTCTCCTATTGTGATGCTATCTCCACACCATTGCTAAAAGCTGTTGTAGTTTGGTTTTGACACTTTTAGCTAATTTCTTTGATCCAATAGTTCAGTGTGACGCAGCATGACTGACAGAGACGGAACCGCTCCCAAATCATATTACAACCTTTAATATCAATGTCAGCTGACTGCCTTTTCCAACGACTCATTAAATCTGATCAATTTGGAATCTGATTAAAACTCTTCCAATCAATCAGCACGTTTTCAGACAACATGACATAAAATTATTTTGTGATTCTTAATGTGAAAACTTGCCACACAGTAGATTATCAGATCAAATTCATGATTATGTATCTCTGTCCAGCTGGCTTTTCTGCTTAAAGGGTGATCTGTGCATCCTTGTAAATTGTAAACAAAGTACCTGAAGAGTGACAAGTATTGTGCCAAAGACCAAAATTAACACAAAATCTACAAGGTATTATCCTCAAAATCTTGCGCGTGCGTGTGAGTGCAGGCGTGCCCATATATTAGGCAAACACACAAAGGACGAAAGTTCAGCTCTCCTGCAAAGTGGCCAATTACTGTACAAGTCTGGACATGTTGCTGCCTATAACAGTATCAGGAATTCGGCTTATACTTTGAAGAAATAATACCTTTTGTTTTAATTTAACTTTGGAATGTAGGTTTCAATTGTTTAGTTAACTCAGGTTGTAATAGTTTGAGTTTGTCTAGGATTGAGTGTTAAAGACTGAGCTTTTTATTTTAATTTGATCTTTTACATTGAATAACAAAAGTTATAGAAATGTACACATTTTCTTTTTTATGACGCATTTGTTCGAATTGTATTTATTCATTCTTGTACTGAAATCAAACATTTATTGAGGTCAAATCTGTAGCCTGTTTGGTATGGCGCCATCTGGTGGTGGGAAATGGCAATGAGGTTCCGAATGTGCCAAAAATGTGTCAGTGTATTCGATTCATTAAATCTTACATAGATATTATCCGTGTAATGAATTTATTAATAGATTTAGGCCTGACGTGTCCCCTTTACGTTCCTTTTGCAAAACAGGTGTTGAGTCTCTTACTCATTTGTTTTATGGTTGTCCTTTAGTTGTACGGTTTTGGAATCAATTGTTTTCATTAATTTGGGATTCTCATAAAATATTGATTACTTTTAATGAAAGTATGGTCTTATTCTTAAACATTAAATGTAACAAGGAAGTTAACGATGTAATAAAATTTCTGTGTCTGTTGGGTAAATTTCGCATTCATAAAGTCAGATTTCTCCAGGCTTTACCAAATGTAACTTTATTTTACATTGATCTTAATTTTTTTATGACTCTGTACGTAGTATTAGTAAAAACAAGAAAGCCGTGAAAATATGCAATTTGATTTATTCTATTATGCCCCATATTACAAGGTAATGTATTAGTGGAATTTTATTTTATTTTATTTGTGTATAATTATTTATGTTTATTTTTTATTTATTAACTTTTTTATCTTTCTTCTCTGTTTGCCAATGTATCACACCCTGTACATCGATGTTGTTTTGTCAATATATTATGTCTTGTCTGTTGCATATGTGTCAATAAAGATTGTTTAAAAAAAAGTATTCGATTCATGGCGACTACCAGACGCATCTTTCCTTCAGGGTTTCATTTGTCTTCATCTAGTGGTAATAATGTGTAACTGCAGCTGTTCACTGCAGATTAACGATGCCGCGTTACAAAGCAATTAAGTACTTGAATTTTCGGTAAAATTGCATCTTAACATGTGTTAACTTTACGTTTAGAGATAAAAATGAACAATTACAACTGATTTCATATTAATAGATAACTGTGATGATTTACAAGTTTGATCTTGTTTGATTTGTTCTAATTAAATCAGGTGTTCTGGTCTGTTCCACTCGTCCACTGTGAGTCATCGCCCCGGCCTGAAATTTCACAGAACTGTCTCTTTAAGCGACCTGCAGTAGGAAACTGTCCAAATGTCTTCACGGCTCACGGAAATCACACATTCAGGCTGCATCTCCTCGAGCTACGATCACTAAGGGTTTAGACCAGATACAGTCATCAGAAGAAATTTCTGCTCTCCGCTGCAGCGCAGAAGGGAGGACAGAGAGGCTGCTGATGCTGAGTGTTATACTCTTCTTCCAATGCGGCATCATGATAGGGCTACGGGACATCAGGAGATGTGACTTTGCTTAGGAAACTCAAACCTGGCTCACGACTACACACGATTTTTACTCATTTGGAGGATTTAAGCTGGAGGACTAATATCGTGGTAGGTGTTTTTGGAAAATGTCATGTCATTCCACAGTATTTAGATCATTAGTGGGGGTTTGCGTGCCCGTTTTCATCAATTATAATGCATATAATGAATGTGCATCCTTGGTGTACAGCAGGCTGCATCATTTTTGAGCATTTCGTGTATTTTAAGGTGGGAGTTCTTGACTTTCATGTGATGATGTCATTTTCCTGCTGCAGTCCTGATTCATATTTAAATGTGTGTGTGTGTGTGTGTGTGTGTGTGTGTGTGTGTGTGTGTGTGTGTGTGTGTGTGTGTGTGTGTGTGTGTGTGTGTGTGTAAAGTATTTTTAATTATACAAAAAATAGGCCAATACGCACCTCCACACTCCCAACAATTAATTATTCAAACCAGTCTAAGGAGTCAAATGCATTTTGTGTGTTTTATTTATTCTGTTATATGTCAAAGCATGACATAGGAATATTTTTAATTAAGTTTTAGGGCTTATGAATCTTGGAAAAGTTCCCTCTCTTTGACCCAGTGAGTTTCACCGGGAAAGTTGATATGCGCATCTTGACTGCAGTGGCGTTCTGGCTTTTTTACTACAATTCCCAGAATTCAGCAGTGTTATTCAACCACGTGGAAGTCCAATCCTGCCTTCCGTTTAACAAATGTCAGGGGTTCATGTTATGTTTTTTTAATAATTAAATAAAGCAGGCTTTTTAAAGTTTAACCATGATAGCCGGATTAGGTTTTTTTAATTATCTGAATACTGGGACTATTATGAATTTGTCAAATTAGACTTTGCCATTTGTAAATTATCCTTGAAAAACAAGCAAGCAGAAAAAAAACTTTGTGCACATTCCTCCATGTTTGGAGGAAGAGAAACGTTTATTTCAGCATAAGTTTGGTCAATATAAAGCTAATCCTTCCAAAAAGATGGCCAGAAATAACCACAGAAATATGTGGTTTTCATCCAGTGAGATAAAGTTCTTATATACCGTAGCTTTTGAATCTGTCTTTGGGGAAATGTGTGCAAACTTGAGCTTACATTTGTGAAGAAATAGATAATTCAATTTCTTTATCGCATTTGCAAGATTTCAGAAGAACCTGGAAAATAATTTCGGTGATAATGCAAGGTAGCCCGTTTTATGGGTCACATTTTTGTCATTTATTATTAATTTTTATTCATATTTTTAACACACACATGTATGTGTATGTATGTGAATTTAATTCAGACAATTTATTCATTAATGACAATATAATAAAATACATTTACCACTTCTATGCAAATCCAAGGCACCGAAGTAGGCTACACTCATTTTTAAATATCCGTACACTAAAGATGGAGAAAATCTGAGCGTGACTTTTGACTCTAAATAGATGGGTAAACAACAACAAACACTTATATTCCGCTTGAAATCCTGTTAAGAGATCAACACAGAGAGCGTAGTGCGCACGCGCGGACTAATTTTGTCACCGTCAGTAGGTTTGGGTTGATAAAAATGAATTAAATCAGTGTAGTAGAGCAACAGAGCCGTAACGTTTAGGGGGGAACTCAGTGGCTAGCTGTCGTCTGACCTACAAAACATGTTTGACCCTGAACAGTCTCCCTGACGGGATTTTAGTACGACACCGGAAGTCATTGACAGGGAATCATCTTGCTCCGGTCATAACGGCGTTTGCTCTCTCTTACGTTCGGTGTAATTTATTATTATTAGAACATGGCCTTTGAAGGAGTTGACATGTTGGAGGGAAATAACCATGTCGCCTGCTTTTGTTGCTGATGTTCTTTCTAGGAAGTCGGGCAGCTGTGAAATGTGTGAACTCTTTGACAGTGGGACGGAAAACGGCGCGCAGAGGACAGAAACAAGTGAGTGCTGCTTGTTGGGATGAACGAAGCTAAATACAACACCAGAGACCGGTTGTGTGCGGCTGACAGGTTTCCCGAGGCGCTTTCAGAACATATTGTTTTTTTAAATGTCTTTTTTGTATGAAATACACATATAGAGAACACCGTTACAGTGTACTTAACTATTTATAGCTGAACGCAGAGCTTCATTGGAAAATAACGGGTGTCCTATCTTGTCACAGCCCTTCTCCTGCTGCACTATCCCTGTGCTCGGTGGAGAAGATAGTCCGATGAAAGTGCCTGTGCTGGGACTCAAAGCAGCAACGACATGGACAGCTGTCCAGACCTCTGGTGAGTTCATCATGTGTGATTCCTAAAACCCTTCTTTATACACTCTTACTGTTCAGGAAGTTCGGACCTGAAATACCCAACATAATTGCATTTATATGTCACTTTTTAAGGCTGATGATGTGGTTTTATGTGCTAAGGAGGATGTTAACCATCCCTTGCAGGAGCCACACCTACCCTGCTCTAGTGAATTCACTCGTCTACACGTCACTGCACTGGTGCATTAATTATTAAGAATATCAAGATTTTTTTGTTGCAAACTTGTCTGTATTATATGGCACATTTGATACATTTTGATTCCTTGTACAAAAAGATACATTATGCCCACACCCCTAGCGAATGTCCCACGTGATGGGACCTTCCATGCTCATGTTTCCTCCAGCCTGAGATCTGATCAATGACTGTAAGTAAGGCTCTCACGTCCTCCGCAGTTGAGATCAAATTTAACACCCAACCTTATCTGCTCCTGAACTACAGTAAGAAGCTTTTTCCACAGATTCAATCATCACTTTATGGAAAAGTCACAACAGTCATATTTACTTGTTTTTTCTAGGTTGCCATGGGTGAAAGTTCATCACGAGTGCATTGGCCTAAGGTCCTACCAGGTGTCCCCCTTCACATCTGTCCATGATGTCAAACAGCTGCTTTACGAGGAGACTAACCTCCCCATCAAAGAGCAACGCCTGCTTCACAACAGGAGGATGGTAAGTGGTTTAATAAAATAATGACATGGCTTCATTTTAGTAAGACATATAAACAAAAATGTTTGGTTCTTAGCATGGAGTTTATTGGTTTGTGATTGTTTTTGATTATTTTAAAGGAACCAAAGCAAAACCCATTGAACACGCCCTCCAGGGTTCTTTGTATACCCCCTGTCAAACTTAGAATGGTTTTGCTGCGTCATTAAGTGGAAGCAACAGCAGTGGTGCTCTGAGGCCGCGTCACATTTTTCTGATAAAACCATGCAACACCCGGAGTAGGAAGGGGAGTCTAGATGCCCTTCCATTATTGGATGTGCCTCGAGACTCCCTTCATATTTGACGTGTTTCTCTTTTCCAGTAATTGAGTTGTTCCGGGGTTATTGATCTCATCACTGATGTAAGCATACCAAAGGTCACCATGAATCAGTGCAGTGGTCTATTGATCTACCCCCGGCTATTGATCAGTGTTGCATTTAAAAACAAACACCACAGACACAGAACACTGAAATCCTTTGTGTGGGTGAGTTGTGTTTCCATGTTGGGATAATTTTAACTTCCTGTATGATTCTTGTGAAGTAGCGTGTGACGACTCACTCAGCAAACAGCCTGACTATAGGCAGCTGACCCGTTGTCCTGGAGCTCTGTTGATTGAAGGCGCCAGGTGATAGACAGTTCCTGCCCCCACCTTCCCCCATCTCATTTGAGGATATTTGCTTCATACCCCTCCAACCAGCTACTATCACATATATAATACCGGATAAAATGAAGTATGTGAGTGCTTTCGTCTGAACCCACCCCAGAGTAAAATAATGACACTATTTCCAGCCCAGGCCAGTGTGTATTTAAGTAGTTGGGTCCTTCTAGCTGAGCCATTAAAACACGGAGGTTGCACCAGATGCTGTTCTTTACTGAGAAGTGCTCATTTAAAAAAAAAAAAAAAACAATTGTTCATCTGAGATTAGGGCCCGACCGATATATCGGCCGGCCGTTATTATCGGTTGATATTGGGGTCATTAACAGTATCGGCTATCGGCCAAAAAGACAGCCGATATGGCTGATATTGCGCTACCTGTCCAGCAGATGGCGCCAGCTTTATGAACTCATGTTGTGTGGCTCCACTCCTTTGAACTTTGAACACAAATTATTGTTTTGGAACTTTTATTTATTTATTCTTATTTATGTTTCTTATGTGCAATTATTTCCTGTCCAGGGTGAATAAGTTCTCCACGTTAACTTCCACAGAGTGTTACATTTTATTTATGCTGCATTTTTATTATTTTAATATTCTTATAGGGATCTTCTGTCCCTAAACTTGTGTGTGATGTTAGATTCCCCAGAGTTAGCTAAGTCAGAAAAAACATTTTGTAACCAGTTGTTTTAGCATAAAGCGATGGAAGGGAAGGCTTGCATTCACCTACATAAAAAAACACTACAATGTGTGTGAATTCACTTACATTGTTTGATGCTAAACTAAGAAAACCAACTGCTTCCAGATCATATTGGGCTGGTTATAAAATGCTTTTTCTGACTTTTCTAACTCTGGGGAATCTTAACAAGACACAACTTTACCGAGTGGTGGAATATTCCTTTAAGTTAAAATGTATTAGTGGAGACCACAGTTTACAAGAAAAAACTTGAATGTTAGATTTATGCTGTGACTGAGTTTGTGTGTTCTGTTGTTTTTGAGACCTGCTACATAAATCTTATTTGCATTACTTGGAAACCCGAGTGAGTTAGACAGTTCTTTGGTGTGTAATAGAGAAATAAGTTTGCATCAAAAAGGCAGAGAATGAAGGGTTTAAGCTTAAGACAATTTTTATTTTTATTTCTTTTTTGTGAGGGAGACTTATCGGCCATTATATCAGCTATCGGCCTTTGTTAAAAGTTTTATATCGGTATCGGTCCCAAAAAAAGCATATCGGTCGGGCCGTATCTGAGATGCTTTTAAATGAAAACACTTTCAGCGACTTTACCTAAATATGGAAAAACACTCGAAACAGCATCTGTAATATAGACTTTAGATTACTGATTTTATTATTTATTAGCAGCATGATGAAGTTAAAAACAAAGACATTTAAAAAGACAACCTTTGCCAAGGAACACTGTTAAACAGAAAAGACATTTTAAATGCTTCTTTAATTCAAAATGAGATTATTGTTCGCAGGAATTAACTTAGAGAGGGTGAGTTTAAAGACCAGGAAAAAGTGTCACGATGTGAGCTAGGAGGAGGTCTGGACCCAAAATGCAGAGAACCCAGATGACACGAGGCAGGAGCGAGTTAAAGTAAAATCCTTTTATTTTGATGGGAACAAAAATAATCCAAAAAGGGCAGGAAGCCAAAAACATGAATCCAAAATCCTAGAGACCTAGAGACTAAGAGCTCCTTTAAAGAGCAGACCTGGAGATATCAAAACGTAGCGTCAAGAGAGGGAATGAGACAAAACTGACACCAAACAATGGACCAACAAAATGAGACACAGACAGGGTTTTATACACTGGGGAGGATGAGAGGGAGATGAGCTGCAGGTGTGTGGGGAGAGAGAGACCAGGTGAACTCAATTAACTAATCAGGGAGGAAACTAACATGGCCTGAGAGTAAAACTAAAGACAAGGAGAGCAGCAAACATAACTAATATTCTAAGAGGGCAGGAAAACCACAAACACTGGTGGGAAAAACACACTAAAGAGACTAAAATCATGAACAGCTGAAACTAAAGGACAATGACCTAAGAGTAAAACCTAAAGACCAGAAGAGCGGCAAACATAACTAATATTCTAAGGGGAAAGCTGAAACTAAAGGAAAACACTACAGAAAGACAAACTACAGGGGCGTGACTAAAGGGGACCACGGGAGCACAGGACCTGGGAGGGGTATACCTGAGGAGGGCAACCTAGAGGGCTGAAGATCTGGGGACAAATGAGGGACACAAGGAGACACATGAGGAAGATGCAGACAAGGACACATGAGGGCGCTAGGAGACACAAAATGAGACCCTAGAGAGGGATGGAGAACGCAGGGAGACACATGAGGGGAGACGCAGACGCAGACCATGACAAAAAGTGTAGGATTTTTAACTGCTGCTAGGCATTCACAGCTGGAGAAAAAAAAAACAGATGTTTGAGTTTGTGATGTGGACATTTTCTGGGTTGTAAATGGTTTGGCATTGCTTGTAAATTCTAAATAGAAGGATTCTGATGATGAAATGATGTGTGTTGCAGTCATTTTGCATGATTAGCGTACCATCATACCTTACTGCCTCAACTGTTTGTCAGCTTCTACTTCTCGTATTAAATATGAATGTGTCTCTGAAGACTTAAAGTCATTTGTCTAAAACTGTTTGGTGATGATGTCACAGTTCAGTGACCATGATGAGGTGCATGCCTGAAGGCTTTTCATCTGCACTCGGTCCTCTGTGCAGCCTGTTAAAGAGTGCTGACTGCAGTGGGAGTCGCTGCTGTGTCACCTTGAGCAGCGTAAGGCCGGGTGTCGACTCCGACTCACTGCTGCATTGATTCTTTTTGAAACATGCACCAGGAAAATATTTTCTATCATCCAGTGTGCAGTAAACTTACCACAACTGCTTTTGCCGTCCTCAGTAATGTAGGAAAGTTGATTCTAATTGGACAAGAATGTTTATTGTATTTGTGAAATTGATGGCTTTGGATAGTTTAGACAGCTTTTTTTTAGCTCTTATAGCGAAAGTAACATTTGTTATAATATTCATAGTTTGTTTGGCCTCTGGAACAATTTCCTCAAATTGTAATCGTCCTAAATCAAATTTTATCATTTTATGTTGCTATTGTTTTATTAGTTTATAGTCACAGTCCACAGTTTACACACATTTTTCATTAGCACAACTGCGACATTTATTTGTGGTTTAGAAATACGTGGTTTACTGATAAACCTTTTTTAATGATTATTTCTAATTATAATCAGTCACTTTGAGTATTTAATGCAGGCTGAGCATGAAAAAAGTCTCCTACACCTAGAGCTGGGCGATTAGGCCTAAAATCAATATCACGATATATTGAGGATTTCACCTCCATAAAGATAAATGGACGATAACTACAGATATGTGCAGAAACAAAAGTTGTCCACTAGATGGAGCTGTCACATGTATTGTTGAGTCACATTTTCATGTGACTTAAGGTGGTGCAGCTTCTTAAAGGGACGTGAACGTTGCCAACCTACACACATCTTTTCTTTTTTATTATCAAATTTATTGACATGGGAAACATTATCTCGATTAGAGTCAGGAATTTTGATAATAAATTTTCGATTTATTGCCCAGCCCTACCTACTCCTGTCTCCTGCATTAGCTTCTGATAGAAAATAAACGGTGACACTCTAGGATTTGAAAAGCCTCACAGATCTACGTCACACTGTCACTTAACATTCTTGGACTCACCCATCTTGACTCGTGACAGGGAAGGCTATTGATGGTTTAGCGTCCAGGACACAGCAGAGGACGTCTAGTAGAAGCTAACTGTTAGCATTGGCAACACCACCACATGGCAAAACTCCTCCAGGGTTGTGTTACTTGTGGAGATAAAACATCAGTGTTGCAAAGCAAGCAGAGTCAGTGGTAGAGTCGCGTTGCTGTTAACCAATCAGAGGCGAGATGTCCAAATATCAGAAAATAAGTCTCCCGTCATCTGAAGCTCTTCTCTGATCTGGCTACCTTCTAGATCCTAGAAAAGGCACACCAGGCCTTTTTGTACCCCGAGAATGACTTACAAAGGCATTGATTCCTATTAGAGACCACTGCAAATATATTGATTAAACAAGTGAACCACACCTTTAATGATTGATTTGAACCGTGTATTTTTTTGTGTGTGCATAATTATGTAGCACACGTCACCCCTTTAAAGTCTGAAAAATAATAACTAAAATCTAGTTTTTAAAACCTAACTATTTACTATTAATTGGTTATCATAGCAACCATATCATAACCAGAGGGACCGGTGGCATCAGTGTTCGGCAGCCTCACTTCCGTCAGAGTGCCCCAGGGCAGCTGTGGCTACATCATAGCTCATCGTCACCAGCGTGTGAATGGGTGAATGACTGATTGTGTTGTGAAGCGCCTTGGGGGGTTGTAGAAGTCTGAGACCATTTACCTTTCCCTTTAAGGTTCAATCAATCGGTTGGATCCGTATGTGAAGTTGTTCTCTCTCTTTACGTTGCTTTGTCGTAGCTGGATGACAGTGTGAAGATTGGCAACTTGGTGGCTTCTGGGAGTCCTGAAGTGTCCTTCACTCTGGAGGGAAGAGGCCTAAAAGGAGGAGGTAAAAGGAAATAGTCTCTGCAATAAAAACAGCTTTTATTACCATGAAGCTTATACCCAGCATGCCTGTAACAGGGAGGTTTGGACAGACTACGCCTCCACTGGTGGAGTTTTTAAAGGATATCCTGAGAAGATATCCTGAAGGTGGACAGATTCTGAAAGTAGGTGCTGGTTTTGTTTTTCTCATCATTTTTATCCTGACATTTTTACAGATATGTCTCAGATCTGCATGTGTTCGTCTAGTCTTTTACCAACTCCCTTGAACGATTGATCATGACCACTTTAAAAAGAGTACAAGAGAGTCTGGCTCCTTAGAAGTGACGTATAAGGACATTAGGGATAGTTTTACATTTTTGCTCATTGATGCAGTTCGCCAAAGAGCCCATAAGCAACAGACAGCCGATGTAGATATTTCTCACGGGGACAAAAACACAACAAAAGTACTTTGGTATTTAGAATGATTAAACATGTCAATCATGAACAAATACAAATTACATTGATTTCTTTTGACCTTAACTTGCTGCTGTCAGCTGTATTGTGAAAAACGACCCACTACCAAGGCCTAAGCCCCAAACTGAGTCATCTATTCTAATTATTCCCTCTCTGCTAGTGCATTGCTTTTAGTTAAAAGCATCTGCCCGATTAGCTGCTGTGTTTCACTGCAGTGACCCTGCCTTCAGGATGACTCAGCGGTTCTGTTTTATTCTGAAGGAGCTGATCCAAAATGCAGAGGATGCTGGAGCCACAGAAGTCAAGTTTCTGTACGATGAGACAGAATACGGCGTGGAGTCCCTGTGGTCACCTGACATGGCTCAGCATCAAGGTGATAAAAAACAGGGCTCTCACTTTTCAACTGCACTTATATACAAATCTGTTCTTATTTTTGAATAATTTTACTCGTATTCGCCTTCTTGTACTTGTGCATAGAAATGCTCCTAAATGTAAGAGCAGCTGTGACCATGCGTATGAACAGCATCTAGTGGTAGAACAGTCTCACTAGAACATATAACAGACACGTGTGACTGACGTTGATTTGATACTGTAGCATGACTGATCTTGTGTTATCTGAAGATGTTGTGGGTTTTTTTTTGGGGGGGGGGGGGCATGGATTTCCTGCACGAGCTTTAGAGGATGTGGTGTGACCAAATCTGGTTCACTTGACCTTAAATTAGGATTAGAAAAAAAAGACATCTGGATTATTTAAATCACAGATGATTTGTTACTTACACTTTATGTAAATCTTCGGATTTCCTTTGCTTGTTGATGCTGACTTGCAGGAACAGCCTTGTATGTCTACAACGATGCTGTGTTCACTGTGGAGGACTGGAATGGGATCCAGGAGATTGCGAGGAGCAGGAAGAGAGATGATCCACTGAAAGTTGGACGGTTTGGGATTGGCTTCAACTCTGTATACCACATTACAGGTGGGAATTATCAGGAAAATAATTCATGTAATATTATTTACTAAATGTTTATTTTCTCAAGACAGTACGAGTGTTTACCTATTGTAGACGGCTTCCTGGAGGGTCTCTGTTTGGAGAAACCATCTAGCAGGACTGATGAGCTAATGGCTAGTCTACACACAGCCAAAGCTGAACTGTGTCAAAAAGCCCTGGGAAGTGCAAACTTCAGCAAAATGACAAGCACATCACACTCCTTTTCATAACTGGCAACGAGTGGAGTAAATGTGTAAAACAACAACGTTTATGAACGGGGAAAGTTTTGTTACTTTAAAAGTTAAAAATCAGTAAATGCATTTTGTCTTCAAGGGCTCCCGTAAAAGGAAACATGGCATCTAATATGGCGTCACCCTGAGACTTAGACCCGCTTCCATGAATTTTAGATCTGATTTTTATGGTTATACGTTAAGAAGCTGTCAAATTTTTTTAACAACTGGGCATCATTTAAATCATTTTCAACAACATTTTGATGGAAATTTCCAGAGATTAATGATAAAAACTAAACATTGTCCCTTTAAATGATTCCAGTTAGTAAAAAAAAAAAAGCAAATAAGTTCATGTGTTTGATGGACTAGTATTTGTTTTTTGCATTTGTGTTTCAGATGTTCCCAGCATATTTAGTGGAGACCAGATTGCCATGCTTGACCCCCATCAGACCCTGTTTGGGGTGAATGAGTCTGGGCAGTGTTGGAATTTGAAGGTGGACAGTAAGGAGATCACAGAACTAGCCGACCAGTTTGCACCTCACCTCGGGATGTTTGGGAGTTGTGAGAAAACTCTAAAGGATGGCAGCTTTCCAGGAACCCTGTTCCGCTTCCCCCTTCGTGTAAAACCCTCCCAGCTCAGCAGCAACATTTACAACAAGGAGAAGGTTTTAGAACTCTTTGAGTCTTTTAAGGCTGACGCAGACACAGTGCTGCTGTTTCTGAAAAGTGTTCAGAAGATCTCGTTACATGTGCGAGAGTCTGACGGTACTGAACGCATGTTGTTTCAGATTACAGCAACAGAGAATACCGATGATAAGCTTGAAAGGCCACATGCACTCAAGACATTGGGTCGTGCTGTGGACAGCTACAGCAATGGAGTTCCCAGTTCCACCATCACATGCGTCACTTACCAGGTCAGCATAGAGACTCTGGATGAAACTGCTAAAGAGACTCAGAGAATGACGTGGCTGGTTTGTAACGGAGTTGGGGGAAGAGGGATGTGTGCTGAGTTGGACTCTCTTGCAGACGATTTGAAGTTCATGCCTATAATCGGGATTGCTTTGCCTCTTACTGTGGTCGACAAAGAGGACAAAGGAGCCACGTCGGGTTTCTCAGGACGGGCTTTTTGTTTCCTACCTCTTCCACCAGGGGAAGAGAGTGAGACTGGGCTTCCAGTTCATGTCAGCGGTTTCTTTGGCCTCACGGACAATCGTAGGAGTATCAAGTGGAGGGAAGTGGACCAGTGGAGGGATCCAGCTGCCTTGTGGAATGAGCTGCTGATAATCACTGTCATCCCTAGGGCTTATTTTGTTCTCATAATGGAAGCTATAACTAGGGTACAGACAAAAAAGGACCAAGACTTCCCTTTGACCCCCACAGAGACTTATAGGGCATGGCCAGACCCGAAGCAGGTCAAGTCTCGCTGGACTCCCATTCTGCAACCACTCTTTCAAGAATTACTGCAGCAGCCAGTCATCTATTCCCTCAGTGAGAGCTGGATTGGAGTCAGCCAGGTTGTGTTTTCAGAGCTGGACTCGGACAACGACATTTCAGAGACGGTGATCAACTACCTCCAAAGCTCAGAAATGCAGGTGGCGAAGGTGCCGGCTGCAGTGGACTCTGTCCTGGCTGCCTACATGGTAAAGTCAACAGACGTGAAGAAAGTAACGCCATCCCTGCTGCGGCAGACAATCCGAAAGTCCAAACCCAAAGGCTCCTCGCTGGAGAAACTGATGCTGCTGGAGTTTGTGCTCAGTGATGCCAATTACAGCGATCTCATAGGACTTGAGCTGCTGCCGCTGCAAGATGAGACCTTTACAACGTTTTCTTCCTCTGTCAGTGAAAAGGATGCTGTTTACATCGCATCTGAAGAGTACCCCAGGTACATAATCTATAAAGCACATTATTATGCTTGAAACCCCCATTTCCATCAGGACCTTAGAGTAGGTTATGTGTGGGAGATACAGCGTCACAATGATGGTAAAGTGGTGTGTAGCGTTAAAGAGTGGCTACATATGTATCAAAATTATCAATAAGTTGTGATAATTCCATATAAATATGAAATATCAACTTGATTTATCTTTGAATGCTTAATCAGAAGATTATAGTTACTTTTACTTATTCAGGGACCTTGAACCCACTTCGTATTAATTCAGACAGAGTCAAGTATATAGTTTATTAAAATGAATTTATTTCTATTTCCCTAAATGATTTTGCAAGACAAAGTATGAATAATGATATGTAATGTAATGGATATGAAGTGATTTAGTGTGAGGTGTAGAATGCTTGAATGGAAGCTAGATGTTTTAGCAAAACCTTTCTTAAGTATCTGAGAGAGTTTGTGGAGTCTGGGTTGTAAAAGAATTTGGCTGTATGTTTGTTAAACTAGAGATTTGTTTATAAAACCATCCAACGCAATCTGTGCCGAATCTACGCACCCTTGTGTGGAGATTCTCGTGCGATCTAGGGGGTCAGTAGGTTGTGGTGGACACTGCCGGTGGAGTGAACCTCTCGGTGTCAGGAACCCGTAGATTAGCTGTGTTAGGACACGTCTAGTCTGAGATCTCTCCAGGTGACGACAGGAACCTGGAATGCTTGTTTGCGTCTAAGGCTGTTTGTTTGGCTCTTAGAAGAGCCGTTTTGTCTGATATCACCCGCAACGTTGCCGAGAGGCTTTGACTTGAGGTCAAAGGAGAAGACGGTTTCAAAAATGCTTTTTCCCCGATTTGGCCAAATCGGGAGTCAGCTAGAAACTGAATTAATCAGGAAGTAATTCCTGTTTTATTAAAATCGCATTGTTGATAAATTTGGAAAATCAGAATTTGATATGTTTGAGGGCATTACCAAAATGTACCTCAGAAGTCCCTTTTTCCAGTCAGATCCTCGGAGAGGTTAACTCTTTGTGTGAATGAGAATGTTTTAAAGCACTTGTGTGCAGTGAATGTTACGTATTATAATGTGTATGCGTATGGATATTGATTAAAGCACAGATTATTCAAACATTTGATTTAACATCTTGTTCATTCAACACATTTGATTATTTCAACTTATAAGTTGTAAAGCCACGTAGGAACTTTGAGGAGTTTGAACTTTATTTAGAGTGAGGATGTAGCAGTCTGACTTCTGCATGAGGCCTTGAGCAAAGATGTTATGGCGTCTTTGCGGTAACAAGAACCGGGGCAGAACTTTTATTTGGGATTTGGAGGCCAGACAGATGGTGATTTTGTGTCTGTAAATGAAAGGTTACTTTCAGGTCAATTTGTTGGTGAAAACTTGACCACTGGTACGTTACAACTGTGAGTCAAGTTCATGGCATTGTGCTTGTCTTTATTTACTCATAATAATAAAAACAGCTTTTATCATTATATTTATCACTTGTTTTTCTTTCCTTTGTCTTAAGATCTCTGTACCCAGGACTCGAGCATCGGTTCATACAGGAGAACATAAAGCCCTCGGTGATGGAGAGTTTGAAGAAAGCTGCTAAAAGCAGAGGTAATATAGCATATCTGTTTTTAATAGACATTGCATCCATGTAGCTTCCTGTAAGTACTGCACTGTACGTGTGTGAAAGACCATATTTAATCCAACAAGAACTAGATGAATTTGTGTAGCAGCACAAACTGAATCTGAACTTAATGCATAGTACAAACTAATATGGTAAAATTGATAAGGAGGGAGAGTTTGACATTTAAACTTTTATTTAAACTGTATTTCATGATTTCAGCCATACTGCAGCTACTCGTGTTCAGTCAGCAGCTCTTCCAGGCAGCTGGCTATTAAATCTGGTGCACTGCTCCTAGCGCTAACTCTGACTCTGACGTGGCTCTGATGCTCATTAATTATTCAGAATTTTAAGCATTTAATTCCACTTAAACAGAAGAGTTACAAAAAAGTTCACCCCCCTCAGAGTTGTCATGGCTGTAAACTAGATCAATTATACCTAAAATGTTTTTTTTTTTTATCCAGGCTGTAAACATTTTATTTCTGCTGTGAAATTAGCATTTTTAACATGGGAGTCAATGTGGATTTGCTCACTTCTGGTGGCCGCCCCTAGTGGATGAGGATAGAACTGCAATTTTTGTCACTTCCGTATTGGCTTTATAAAATTCCCTGGATTGTGGGGGTCTTGAGATGGGCGGAAGAGAAAAGGACAGACAGCAGTTTTGCTGTCAGTGCACACTCATGGATGCAACTCTTTTAAATCCAAAAGTTTGTTCTTTTCTTAGAAAAAATAAAGTTTGTGCTTGAAGTGAAATTTAACAAATAATTTGTAGTCATTATCTTTTCATTGATTCTTCTTATTGTTATTATTAGCAACAACAACAGCAATAATAATAATAATTGTTATTATTATTATTGCTGTTGTTGTCTTATAACGATAATAACAATCATAATAATTATTATTCGACTGTATGCTCCAAAGAAAAAAATTTGAAGGATTTTATTTTTTTGTGTCTTAGTTTTGATATAAAATTAGAGAGGTGTTGCATTGGTGCTGGTTTAGTTTTTAATAACAAAATCTCATATTCTTATTAATGAATCTGTTATGGCATTAACAGTTAAATCTTTATTCTCGACTTTTAAACGGTTATTCTGTGAATAACATTTTGTCATTGCTATTAGATGATGTCTGGAGAGACATGATAACATTCACTCACTTCATTTCTTAGCCCAAAGTCAGTTTTTGAAGTATCATCATGGTGTTGCTTCAGTTATGACAGAGATGGAGTTGAGTTCTCCTTCTTTATCTTAAATCTATTTCTTGAATTACAGTGCAACAGTTTCTTTGGGGATGCTCAGGTAGGTACTACGAAACCTGTCAAGTACCTTTTATTATTAACCAGAACTAGTGTGTGGTTTCAGTCAAGGAACTAACAGATTTGACAGGCAAATTAAAAGAAACACTGAAATTCAAACCTTTTCTTGTAACATTTCACTCACATTTTGACATTTTACTACTTTTCATTTTCCTGCAACATTTCCTTCCTGCAATGGATCAATGATCATGAGATGTATACAGTTGTTATAGAAGAACTGGGATGGGTACAAACTAATAAAGTTAACTGTCATAACTTACATGCTGCAGCCAACATTCCTGAATTGTGTTAAAAGCTGTGTGCTGATTTTAACATGAACGTGTAGCAGTTTTGTTTCTTCAGGAACTAATCACATAACCTGTCATCTGTCCTTTGTTTTCCAAACATGTTTTGAATAAAACACTGGGTTGGATCATGAGAAAAAGGACCCCCACCCCCCCACCCCCCATGGAAAACTGAAACAACATGCATGAATGCATTATTTATATTTTTGCCTGTAATTGTTGCATCCTTGAAAAAGACAATTAAATCTACTATATGTAGCATTATTTTTGAATAAAAACATCAACTGATGACAATTTTATCGTCATTTTCCCAGGACGACCCTGCACTCAGCTGCAAGTGTTGAACGCTGAACGATCAGCTCGACTCATCAAGGAGATCCTGTCCACAGCCTGGCCAACAAGAGACTTCAGCGTTGAGTGGGAACCAGGAAACCGAGAGCAGAAGCATCCTACAGTTTCCTGGTTAAGGATTGTTTGGAAGCAACTTTACATCAACTTTGCAGATGACCTTAATACCTTTGAAGACATGCCTTTGATTCCACTTGTGCCACTTAAAGAAAGCACGGACACAACTAAACTTCTTCGTCTCAAAACCCCCTCGCCCATAATTCACATGGATGATGAAGAGGCACCATTTCCTGAAAACCTTCTTGGCATTGTGGAAAAACTTGGAGGAGTCGTGATAAAAAAGCTGGATTTGTGTTTGCAGCACCCTTTGCTCAAGAATTACATCCACCCATGCTCTCCTGGTATGCTTCTGCAGATCATGAACAGACTTTCAACACAAAAATTATCCAGCACAGTCGCTTCTTTCTCAGCGGCAGAAAAGACTGTGCTCAGACACTTTCTCGCAGGCCTCTCTGACATCACAGAGAGGGAAAAGCATACCCTACTCGATCTCTCTATCTTTGAGAAAGTAGGAGCCTGCTCTGAAGGTACCTCATCGTTCACATCACTGAGGGGCGCAAGAGCTTTGCATCACAGAGCCAAGTACCCACCAGATGTAAAACTGTCAGAAAATCTTGCGGCTTGCTGTGATGAAGAATCTATTCGTCTCATCAAAATGGTTAACGTTGAACAGGTGAAAACAACAGAATGTTTGAAGATTATTATTCAGGACATTGAGAGGGAATTTTACTCAAAAGATGAAACAACCCAAATCATGCTTTGGGCTCTTAAACACCTGTCATTCTTAAAGAACGAAAATCCATCTGTGATAGGGTGGATCTCTGCACTTAAATTCATCGAGTTGCCTTGTGGAAAGTCTGTAAAAGCCTCAGATCTTTTTGACCCTGAACTTGAGATTCTACAGCATCTTTTTTACATGGAAGAAGAAATCAGGTTTCCTACAAGTACATACAATACATCCCCTGATATCCTCCATTCACTTAGACAACTGGGGCTTAGAAATGAGGTACAGGTCAGTGAAAAGGATGTGCTCAAAGTGGCAAGAAAGATAGATGAGCTGCAAAGCAGCAACGAACCAGAGTGGGACTTAATAATCAAAAAAGCAAAGACACTCCTGCAAATACTTAACAAACAGACCAAGCTGATAAAATCAGCAGATGCTCAGGCATCACTCTTAAAAGTGAAATGGGTACCTGTATGCAAAGAAAGACCCCTGACGTACCCCAAATCCCTCGCTTGGGTTGGAGACTCTCTCAATATCTGTTCTGTCTCTGAGATGTGTGAATTATCCCATGCAGTGCTCGTGGGTTCTTCAGTGGCACTGGTTGAACACACATCTGCAGGTATGAAGAAAGCACTGAAACTCACTATAGAGCCACAAGTGGATCAAGTACTGCAGCACCTGAAAGCTGTGAATGACTGGCATAAATCTCAAGCATTTACCACAGAGGACTGGTATCAGTTTCAGCAGATTTTGTTTGAGATTTATGGCTTCATGCAGGCTCATCTTGAGGATGCAAGAGAAGCAATGAAATCACTTCCTTTTGACTGGGTGTGGACTGGAAAGACATTCTCATCACCTGGCCAGACTGTCCTGAAACCCCTCCCTGATCTAGACTTGCAGCCTTACCTGCACTCTCTGCCCAAGACGATGAGAAAGTTTCACAAGCTCTTCAAGTTTTGTGGCTCAGTTGAAGAGGTTGTCCCAAACCACGTGTTTGATGTCATCACCACAATTCAAAAAAGATGTGAAGAAGAGATGAATAAGCAGGAAAGCAAGCACAACATCTTGCTTTTGATCAACATCCTAAGATGGCTGTACAACAATCAAATACCAGTGGACACTAATATGCACGTGCCAATTCTTTGTTACAAAGATCTGAGCAAACTGGTGATGAAACCTATTCACGAATGCACCTACTGTGACATCAAAGTTGATGATTTAAACGACTTACTTGAAGATGCCTCAGAACCAATTATACTGGTTCATGACGACATCCCAATGAAAACGGCAGAATGGTTGAAAGTACCATGTTTGAGTACAAGGCTGATCAACCCAGAGAATCTTGGCTTTGAACAATCAGGCCAACAAGAACCTCTGACAGTAAGGATAAAGAACATCTTGGAGGAATATCCATCAGTAGCAGACATTTTTAAAGAGCTCCTCCAGAATGCTGATGATGCCAGTGCGATAGAGTGCAGTTTCCTCATTGACATGAGAAAAAACACCGAAATTCGTGAGAATCTCCTCGACCCTGGCATGATTGTTTGCCATGGACCTTCCTTGTGGTCTTTCAACAATTCTACGTTCACAGACACCGACTTTCTGAACATCACAAGGCTTGGCGGATCTGTGAAGAGATGTGAAGCAGACAAAGTTGGCAAGTTTGGCTTGGGTTTCAACTCTGTTTACCACATTACTGATATCCCAATCATAATGAGCAGGGAGTTCATGATCATGTTCGATCCAAACATCAATCACATCAGCAAACACATCAGAGACAGGTCCAATCCAGGGATCAAGATTAACTGGAGCAAACAGCAAAAAAGGCTGAGAAAATTTCCCAATCAGTTCAGACCTTTCATTAATGTTTTCAACTGCCAGCTGCCTTTAACTCAGGACTCACCTTACAAATACAATGGTACTCTGTTCAGACTCCCCTTCAGAACAGAGCAGGAGGCATCAGTGAGTGAGATTAGTCGTCTGTACTACAATACCACAGATATCTACTCTCTGGTTGACGAGTTTAGCATATGTGGACATCGGTTCATTCTTTTCACTCAGCATGTTGGAAGTATGGTATTAAAATACCTGAAATATGAGGAACCAAACCCAGCAGGTGCACAGGATGTTGTCACAATCAACAAAAGTGTTTGGTCAAGCAAAGCCTCATACGGACCTCTGAGCATCCTGAAATCTGCAGCAAAAGTTATGAAGAAAGTAGCAAGCACCAATAAGGTTCCCTCTGACATACCCAAATCTGGCTGCATCATACGTATTATGGTGGAAGAGTTTCATAATGTGTTCAAGCACATTGTTGATCTCCACTCTCCGCTGTTTCGAGGTTCAGAGGAAGATCCCAATCAGTACTTTGAAATGGCAGCTAAAGGTGTCCAGACAAGAAGACTGACGGATGAAATACCCCAGAAGGCAGTTGAGGTCACCAACTGGCTCATTTGCTCATGCATGGACGTGAACGAGGCACTCAAGTTTTCTCTTAGTGACAGTGGAAAAAGACTTGGACTTGTACCTTGTGGAGGGGTTGCTGTTCTTCTCTCCGAGGCAGGTAATCGCAAATGGACTGTAAAGACAAGTGCGACTCCAGTTGGAGAAGTATTTTGTTATTTGCCCCTCAGAATCAAAACAGGCTTGCCAGTTCATATCAATGGCTGCTTTGCTGTTACTTCCAACCGCAAAGAGATCTGGAAGACTGACACCAAAGGACAGTGGAATTCTGTCTTCATGAGACATGTCATTGTTCAAGCCTACTTAGCAGCACTCACAATGCTGCGGTCAATGGCTGAAAACGGAGAACTGATTGAGTACAGCTACTATGCAACATGGCCGGATCCGAGTCAGGTACACGATGATTTTATTCTGATCAGCCAGGGCATCTACCAAGAAATAGCCAAGGGAGGTGACCGTGAACATGGAAAGGTTTTCTCTGACGGAAAATCCTGGGTGTCAATCAAATACGTCAGATTTCTTGATGACACCTTACTCTGCCGACCAGACATTGGTCCTGCTGCTTTCAAGATATTCCTAAAATACCTCAAGAAGAGTGGCTCTCAAAACCTCTGTGCTGTTGAACTGCCTGACTGGGTGAAGGAGGGATTTGATGATGCTGGATGTAAAGGAAAATTGATGGAAAACACACTGACAGAGGAGCAGTTCTTTTCAGACGTCTTTTTTCCTCACATACAGGAAATTGATAAAGAGCTTCGAGATCCCCTGATGCATTACGTTTTAAACGAGAAACTGGAAGACTTCGAATCAATTCTACGAGTCACCCCTTGTATCCCTTGTTCTGGCCCCACCAAAGAACTGGTTTTGCCTTCCAAACTCATTCACCCAGAGGGTAGAGTTGCTAAACTTTACATCGCTGATGATGGAAGATTTCCTGAAGGGACCTCCAAAGACTATGTAAACCCTGTGTGTTTAGTGAAGCTAGTGCAACTGGGCATGGTTAAAGATGATCTATCGTGGGAGGACATAGTTGAGCGAGCTCATTCTGTTATTGACCTCAATGACTGTGATCATACAGCTGCATGCTTCCGTAGCAGTATACTACTCAGTCTCATTGATGAGAAGCTGAAGATGAGAGATGCAGAAGCAGACAGACACTTAGAGACACTACAGGACATCAAGTTTCTTCCATTTCTGACAAGACCTGCAGGATTCTCGTTACCATGGCATGGGAACAGCTTTTCCCCAACGACGATCTTCTCTCCTCGAGAACTCTTCACAACTGAACATCAGGACACAGTGTGTTTGATGAAGCCAATCCTAAATGAGAATTCCCCATCCTTCAAAGGCTGCGGTGCTATGTCGTTGGCTGTGAAAGATGGTCTAGGCCTAATAAGGAAGCCCCCAGTTGAACTTGTCATCAATCAACTTAAGAAACTTTCTCAGTCATTTGATGGTGTCACTCTATATCAGGAAAACATAACAAATGCCTGTTACAAGTACCTTCATGAGGAAATGCTTCAGGATGACAATATGAAAATTCAGATAACTCAAGAACTGGAAGCATTTAACTCTATCTTGGTGGAGAACACTTATGTGAGTCCCTCCAAAGTTGCTTTCCACCTTAATTTTGAGGCAGCTCCCCATCTTTACCAGCTCCCAAACAAATACAGAAACAGCTGCCGTGAGCTCTTTGAAAGTGTTGGTGTTCAGCCTAGCTTCAAAGTTGAGGATTTCTCAGCAGTTCTTGAGGCGGTGAAGCAAGGGTGCGGACGAAAGATTCTCACTGAGGAAAACTTCCAAATGTGTCGCAGAATCATTAGTGAAGGAATATGGAGCTTAATACGAGATAAGAACCAAGAGTTTTGCCAAGCAAATTATGGTGGGATTTTGTTACCAGACTGCAATCTAATGCTGCAGCCATCAAAATCTCTCTGCTACAATGACTGCCCTTGGATCAAAGTCAGAGACTCTTCTGTGAAGTACTGTCATGGGGACATTCCAAGAGAAGTTGCTGTAAAATTAGGAGCAGTCCCAAAACGACACAAAGCATTGGAGAGATATGCTTCGAATGTCTGCTTTAATCCTCTTGGCAGTGAGTTTGGACAGAAAGAAAAACTCACAAGCAGAATTAAAAGCATCCTCAATGCCTATCCATCAGAGAAAGAAATGCTTAAAGAGTTGCTTCAAAACGCAGATGATGCCAAAGCCACAGAAATCTACTTTGTATTTGATGCAAGAACACACGCCACAGACAGAATATTTGATGACAAATGGATTCCAATGCAGGGCCCCGCCCTCTGTGTATATAACAATCAACCATTTACAGAGGATGACATTCGAGGTATTCAGAATCTAGGAAGAGGAACAAAAGAGGCAAATCCAGGCAAAACTGGCCAATATGGGATAGGATTTAACTCTGTCTATCACATAACTGACTGCCCATCCTTCATCTCAAACAATGACATTCTCTGCATCTTTGATCCACATGCACAATATGCACCTGGAGCTACATCTGTAAGTCCTGGAAGAATGTTCAGAGACTTAGATTCTGACTTTAGATCCCAATTTTCAGATGTTTTGAATCTATACCTGGGAGCTCATTTTAAACTAGAACGCAGCACAATGTTCAGATTCCCCATTCGCTCCAAAGATATGGCAAAGACCTCAGAGATCAGTTCTGTACCAGCGTCTGACAGAATGGTCCAAAACCTATTGGATAAGCTTAAAACAGATGGTGCAGAGCTACTCATGTTTCTCAACCACATGGAGAAAATATCAATCTGTGAGATTGATAATTCATCTGATGAACTTAAAGTGCTGTATTCTGTGACAGCTAAAATAACAGATGGCGATAGACTTAAACGCAAACAGTTTCATGCCTCTGTTATTGATAGCGTTACCAAAAAGAAGCAACTCACTGCTATCCCAGTCCAACAGATAACCTACACAATGGACATAGAGGACACGGATGGAAATTTGACCTCATGGATGATCTGCAACAGATCTGGATTCCCTGACATTGAAAATGTTTCAAAAAGTGTGATTTCAGCCCATAAAAATGAAGACATAACTCTGTTTCCACGTGGAGGTGTGGCTGCATGTGTAAGCCACAACTACAAAAAGCCCCACAGAGCCTTCTGCTTTCTGCCCCTTTCACTGGAGACTGGCTTGCCTTTTCATGTCAATGGGCATTTTGCCCTAGATTCAGCTAGAAGAAACTTATGGAGGGATGACAATGGAGTAGGAGTGAGGAGTGACTGGAATAACAATTTGATGACATCACTTATAGCTCCAGCTTGTGTAGAACTGCTGATTCAGCTAAAGCGACGATACTGTCCAGGTCCTGATCCCACCATGACTATATTACAAGGAACACCTCTTCATGTTGTGAAAGATACATTGCGAAAATATTTGTTTTTCTTTCCAGCCAATCGACTTGACATACAGCCAGATTGGTACTGCCTGGTGAAAGCGGTGTATAACTGTATCCATGCTGATCTAAAGCGTTTGCTTCCCGTTGTCAGAACAGCACAGATGGACAACTCTGACGTTCACTCTGTTATTTACATTTCGTGGGTGAATACGTCCACTACAAACAAAAGCAGAGCCTTCTTTGATAATCTGCTTCAAGATGAGCTTCAACACGTGAAAAACACAGAATACAACTTAACATCCAGGAAATCTGTGGCTGAAAATGTCTATAGGCTGAAAGCCCTTCTTCTTGATATTGGTTTCAACCTGATTCACAGTTGCGATGAAACAGCAAACCTCTACTTGTGTTTGCAGGATGCAGGGATTCCAGTCAGTTATGTAACACCAAATGACGTTCGCAACTTTCTTCACACATTCTCATCCCCAGACACTTCTTGTCATGTTGGAAAACTCCCCTGCCGTCTCCAGCAGTCTAACTTTAAGCTAGTTCATCATCTAAAGCTTCTAGTTGACTACTGTTTTAAAGACGTAGAAGAGGAGGAGGTCAAAATAGAGGGTTTGCCTCTCTCGATAACAATGGACAACATGCTTCATGTGTTCGACTCTAAGAGACCAAAGTTTCTGACAACACACCATGAACTAATACCATCAAGGAAAGAAATGTTTATGAACACATTGTACATAAAGTACAGCAAGATGTTGTCGAGAGCAGGTGTTGCAAAGAACTTTGACATCAGCAGCTTTGGTGACCTGCTAGGGTCAGTTCTACTTAGAGAATATCGAACAAAGATCCCTGTAAAATGGAAGGATACCTTCCCAAGTGACTCTTGGCTGAAAAATGTGTGGAACTTTGTCAGTGAGAATATAGCCCTTAAGGAAGATCAAGTGGACTTAAAACCCAGCTTTGACACAGTACTTGACATTCTGAAAGACTGGGCTTTGCTACCTGGAATCAAATTCATGGCAAGAGAGAAACTTGTTGTCCCAGATCATGACGTGCTTCTTCCTCTAAGCTTGATGCATGTAGCCATATTTCCACAAGGCCAAAATGACAAAGTCTTTCACACTCTAATGAAGGCAGGGTGCATCCAGCTTGCTGTAAATAAAATCTGTAGTAAAGACAACCAAATGATGCCTTTACTGGCACAACACACTGCAAACATTGAAAATCCATCAAGCATTCTCAAAGCCATGGAGTACATGATTCAGACATCTGCATTCAAAACAGCAAACCTGACTGATAAGGACTTTGAAGCTCTTCTGTTGTATTTTAACTGCAACCTGCCTAGTCTCTCGCAACAAGATGCACAGAGTCTGAAACTGCTCCCATGCTTTAAGTCAGTTAGTGGCAAATACATCAGCATTGCAAACTACACAGCAAACTATGTTCTTGCAAAAAGTATCCCAACTGTGGACATAGAAAAATGGACCCAGACAACCTCTTTTGCATTTCTTGCTGATAGTCCACAACTGAAAGAACTGTACACCTTCCTTGGATGTGTGTCAATCAATGACCTAGAAATGTATCTTCATCACCTCCTGCCAAAATTTGACAGTCTTTCATATGATGCCAAAGCTGAACACGTTGTTTATTTGAAGGAGAGACTTATGTCCATTGAGGAGTCTTGCAAGATGAAGGATCAGCTTTATGAGAAATTAGAGGGACTATCGTTTATTCACGACTCCTCAAACAGACTCAGGTCAGCCAAGTTTTTCTACGATGAAACAGTGAAGGTGTTTGAAGTTATGTTACCTGCAAAGTCATTCATACCAAGTGACTTTTTTAAGAAAGTAGAGCAAGTGACAAAGCCAAAGAATGGGACACTGTTGCTGACCTCTTGGATAATCTTTCTGAGAAATATTGGTCTCAAGCATGAAGTTTCACAGCAACAAGTTCTTCAGTTTGCAAAAGAGGTCAGCATCAAAGCCCAAACAGAGAGTTGGACCCAAGAAAAAGTGCAAATCATTGTTGATGTTCTTTTGAACCACATCTTCAAAGAAAGGACAGACCTGTTCCAGGGAACCTTTCTCAAGGAACTTTCAATGGTGCCGTTTCTCTGCCCTGAGAGAGCTCCCAAAGAACTTATCAAGCTTCATACTCAATACCAAGAAATGAGTGGCACACTTCCTCTAATTCGCTTCAGTGGGTCTCAGGTAAACCCAAAATTCAAACAGACAGACATTATAAATTTGCTTTGGACATCTTGTCCAATCCTACCTGAAAAAGCTACACCTTCAAGCATAACAGATCAAGAAGACATCACCATGACTGGACAGGAACAGCTTGACCAAGTTCTGAGCATGCTAGGTGTTAACTTGGATCCACCACTGGAGAAAGTCATAAGCAACTGCAGGAACATCTGCAACATATCCAATCCAGATGATGAAATGGTAAAAACAAGGAACAAAGTTTTAAGATCCACATATGAGTTCCTCAGTGCAGATAAACGAGATTTTCGGCACCTACTTCGTGGGGTGGCCTTTGTTATGGTTGAAGATGGCTGGAAATTGCTAAAACCTGAAGAAGTGGTCATCAATTTAGATACTGAATCTGATTTCAAGCCATACTTGTATAAATTACCTCTAGAACTTGGCACCTTCCATCAACTTTTTAAACTTCTTGGCACAGAGGATGTTGTGTCAACTAAACAATATGTTGAAGTGCTGTGGAGAATTTACAGGATTTCAGAAGGAAAACAGCTCGACCCAAATGAAATGAGAACCGTGAAAAGAGTTGTTTCAGGATTGTTCAAGTCTCTTCACAATGATCCAGTTGAAATTCACAAAGACCTTGAGAGTCTCAGAGAATTGATATTTTATCTGCCAAGTCACGATGGTAGACTATCAAAATCCAACACCTTAGTATTTGATGATGCTCCACACTACAAAAGCAGAATCCAGGGTAATGTTGGAGTTCAGATGCTTGTGGACATGAGCCAATGTTATCTGGGCAAAGACCATGCTTTCCATACAAAGCTAATAATGTTGCTGCCTCAGAAACTAAGACCTAGACTGTTGAGTAGCATTCTTGAAGAGCAGCTTGATGAGGATTCTCCAAAAATGTGTCAGTTCGGAGCTCTTTGCTCTCTACAAGGCCGCATTCAACTGCTGCTGTCATCAGAACAGTTCATCACAGGCTTGATCAGAATAATGAAACATGAGAATGATAATGCTTACCTTGTGAATGAGGAAAAAGCCATACGTCTGTGTAAAGCACTTTGTGAAGGACTCAAAGTGTCCTGTTTTGAGAAACTCCAAACAACTTTAAGAGTGAAAGGATCCAGTCCCATCCCACACAGTCGCAGTGAAACTCTTGCTTTCCTGAAAAGATATGGGACAGCTGTGATTCATCTCTACATCCAGCATTCTGACAACAAAGATATCAACTTTCTTCTGGCACTTGCTATGACACTCAAGTCTGCAACTGACAATTTGATTTCTGACACATCCTATCTCATTGCCATGCTGGGTTGCAATGACATCTACAGAATCACAGAGAAACTCGACAATCTTGGTGTCAAATATGACTCAACGGAACCCTCAAAGCTCGAGCTACCCCTCCCAGGAACCCCAATACCAGCTGAGATACACCATACTCTGCTCATGGATCCAATGAATGTTTTCTATCCAGGAGAATATGTGGGTTACCTTGTAGACTCAGAAGGAGGAGACATATATGGATCCTATCAACCCACATATACCTATGCTATCATTGTACAAGAAGTAGAAAGAGAAGAGGAGGAAAACACAAGTTTCCTTGGAAAATGCTTCCAGATTGACATAGGTTACAGTGAATATAAAATTGTCAGTTCCCTTGACTTGTATAAATTTTCAAGACAAGAAGAAAGCACCCATGTCCAAGATACTGTTCCACCAACTCCTTCAAGCCCAGAAAGCCGATCCCCAGGTCTACGAATGTTACCTCCTCTCTTCTCCGGCAAAGAAAACCTCCGACCTCCTCCTCAAAAATCATGCCCTAAAAAGCTCAAGCTTCATGCATTGCCTGAGATCCTAAAAGAAGTGACCTTAGTGGTTGAACAAGCTTGGAAGCTTCAAGAGACGGAGAGAAAAAAGATCATCCGACGACTTTATCTCAAGTGGCATCCAGATAAAAATGCAGAGAATCTGGACGTTGCCACAGAAGTTTTCAAGCACTTGCAAAATGAGATCAATAGAATGGAGAAACAGACTTTGGCTGATCAGCAGAATACTGACAGGACTTCCAGAAGATCTTTCTCTACATCATCAACTCGTTTTCAGTCAGAGAAATTTTCATTTCAAAGATTTTATTCGTCCTGGAACCAAGAAGCAACTAGTCACAAGTCAGAAAGACAACAGTTCAGGGCACATTACACAAGCTATGCAGGTTCATCGCATTCACATCGTTTCTTTGTACCTCCAACTTTTAAAACGGTTGGAAACCCTGTAGAGGCCCGCAGGTGGCTGAGGCAAGCCAGAGCAAACTACTCTGCTGCTCGCAATGATCTTCATAAAAATGCTAATGAGTGGGTTTGTTTTAAATGCTACCTAGCCACAAAACTTGCACTGATAGCTGCCGACTATGCCGTGAGAGGAAAGTCTGACAAGGATGTAAAACCAACTGCACTTGCCCAAAAAGTGGAGGAGTACAATTCCCATTTAACAGGCCTTGCCAGTGATGTTCAGATCCTCGAAGGATATGGTGTAGATAGTCTGAGAACTCGCTACCCTGACCTCCTGCCATTTCCGCAGATTCCCAATGACAGATACACATCAGAGGTGGCAATGAGAGTGATGGAGTGTACAGCACGGATTATCATAAAGCTTGAAGCTTTTGTGCAGCAAAAAATATGATGCCATTTCTAAATAGGAGTATGGATTTAATAGCTCCTGTGGCTGTGTGCAATACACATCACAAAGACATTGCTGGCAGCTTGTGGTACATATGCAGTTTCTATCTGTGGCGGTGGAGCAGTGGCCCATGCACACTAGATAAATGTATGGCTTCCATAACATGTTGGTCTGCAGACCTACATATGCTGTACATACAGATGCCTCAGCAATATGTTTTTGTTTACCAAAGTCCCCATACTGACAATACCTGCTCTGAGTTTGATTGAGATATATGCTACTTTTTTACTTTATCTTTATATATAAAAACACAAAATAGTATATTTTCTTGCTAAAAACAAACAAGAAAACAATTTTAAAACAATACATCTGTCAGTTTCAGTAAAACATGTCAAATATGTTCTTCTTTCTCAGTTACTCAACATGCAAAATGTAATCATGTTTGTAAATTTTCTTTTTTTGTACTTTTCTGTTTGTTTTCTGCTAATTTCTGTAAAAGTCGTACATTTCCTGTAACATAGTCAATAACCTGTTTATGGACAGAGCACTTTTTTCTTAATCTCATGTTCTTGCAGACGCACTCATGTAGCACTAGACAGTCCAGGAAATTGGGAGAATCCAACTGTGAATAGAAACATGTTGTGTGTTTGTTTTAAACTGAAAGTTTCTATCTTTGTTAATCTTTTTGGGAATGAGGGGTTTATTTTGCATCGTTGGCTGATCAGATGAACCATGTACCTGCATTTAAAGCTGAGGAGTACATTGTCTCGCTTTGGCAACTTAAAGTGCAGAAACAAAAGCAACTGCGCAAATAACTTTTCCCTTTTTCTACAGAATAAAACTTAGTGAGAGATTGTAAAAAAAAAAGAGCCATATAATGTTTTAATGTGGGCACGATCACAATATGTGGCATTAGCCAGATTGAAACCATCCCCATACATTTGTTATGATGTGTACTTCTCTGTTTAAGGAACATTCAGTGTGACATCACCATGCATTGGCAGTTGTGTGTTTTTTACGACTTTACCGACCTCATTTGACTTTGGTTGAAATGACTACATGCACACTGGCCACACAACAACATACTGTGGGTTTTCTGTGTTCATTTTTAATGAAATGTGATTTAAAATGTGCTTCTTAGGATCTGTTGTATGTCCTGGAACAAACATTGGGTAGCATCAATAATGTGCACTGTGCCATAGAAAGGCTAAATAAATTACCTTAAATAAACTTGAGAAATTTGTTTCCAGATTGATTGTTGATTCCAGATATGATTTAAACAGCTTATTTGGAAAGGCCTAATGTTTTTTAAAGTGTTGGCATTGGAATGATAAGAAAGTTGAATCGTGATGCAAACAAAGGTTTGATTGCAAGGCAAGCTAACGTGATGTCAGCAGGAGAAGAGAAGTGAGCGAAGCAACTCTCACTCCCTTCAGCTTAATATCCTCATTTATAAAATGGTAGAATCCGTACTAAAACCCTACTTAAGCTCACAAAAAAATTATAAGCGTATAATCTGACCTATAAAACCCTGCTTGTGCAAAGCTGTATGCAGTTTCTGGTTTATAAATCACACCTGTCCTAGAAATGTGCTCAGGTGATTTTCTTTATAAATCATAAAGTTTGCATGGAAAGTCACTTGCGCAGTTTTCAGACCCCATTTTGTGTGTAAGCAAAAAGTAGTTGCCTTGAATTGATTTCAGTGGGATCCCCATGCTCTTGACGTCAGCCATAGTTTGTGCAACGACCGACAGGGCTTGTCCACTAGAGAGCATCAGTGATCACAGTCATCAAAGCAAATCTGAACGTGTCTGATTTTATGCACCACCATGTGTATTAGCCTAGCAAGCCAGACTAAATAAATGTATTATTTATGCTTTTCAAACTTTGCAAGGCAAGAATTTGGTCTAATTCACTAAGCTACCATGTGTGCATCAGCAGATAAAAATCAGTGGGGGCCCAGACAGCAGAAAGACATCTGATGATTTTGTGTTTCTTTGCATAAAGTTAACAGAACATAAATTAAATTAAACAAATAATAGAAGAAAAAAACAAACTTTATTCAACATACAAAATGTATAAATACATCCCATCAGATAAGACAGACCTGAGGACACAACTCCACCTTAAATAACAGTTTGGTTGATGTTACAACGCCACAACATGAGGAACAAAACTGTTTTTAGAAGTGATTAACACGAACCATCAATCATACAAATAAGGAAAATAATAAGCACCTGTTATGCATATTGTTGTAAAAAAACATCAAATGCAAATTTAAAGGAAAACAGCTATTTGAGGGTCCGCTCGGTTTTTCTTAGATGTTTCTGTGGTTAAGAGTCAAAGTTTATGTGTTTTTAGTTTGCTGGCTGTGGATTCATTCCTTGACATTGAAAGGAAGACATACAACCAAGCTATTGGTATTATGATTTAACATTTTCATCTCAAACTCATCACACATTTATAACTAAACCAAAATCTATAACTGCTGATTTTGACTATATAAAAAAATCTCAGAATTGTGTAAAATAAATAAAAACTAAAACATTTCCATGTTGTTTATTCTTAAATTAAAACATGCTAAACACCAAACCAAAAAAATCACATACTAAGGCCTTGGACAAAATCTGGCATCAGCCCAAATAAATATCTAAGAAAACCAGATTCCCACTCAAGTGATTTCTATTTTCTTTTACAGTTTTCCAAGTCCTTGATATGTGCTCATTTCAATTATTGCACCACAAGAAAATATTGCATAGGATGTAAGCTGTTACCAGCCCCTCATTGCCCAGCCATGTTACTGTATGTGTAAAAATAAATCCCCATGCTGATACATTTATGACCAAGAGCAGATTTCTATAAATTAAATAGATGCACATAAACCCATCTCCAGAATGATGTGTTTCAGGGCTTCCTGTGACATGAAGGCCAGCAGGCAGTTGTATTTTTACCAACCTCCATTATAGATCCACTGTGGTATGAAGATTAAAAAGGACAAACTTAGACGCCATAGAAACAGTTGTGCTTGTTGCCTCCCAGAAGATGCCTCCTCTGAGAGGTGGAAAGTCGACGACCTTGTCAGAGTCTCTCTAGCAAACTTGATTATGGCTGCAAGTGGACTTTATACCAGCCTTAGACCGGAAAAGCTTCCCACTGGGACAGACGCAGACCTCGTAGAGACCCTGAGTGTTTCCAGATACCCCCTCCTTGCTCACGGGCAGGCTCGGCATGCGCACCATCTCAGCATCCAGCACCAGCTGCATGGAGAACACAGCAAATTCACTTTTAGCTGCAGGGGTGTGTGCTTCATTTCTTACGTGATCTGATATGTGAGGATGTTGCAACAAAATTGTGGAAAGTCGACCTAAGTCACTGCAGATGAAGGTCAAACAGCTTTATAAAAAAATCTAATTAACAAATAAGTCAAATTAATGTACAAAGATAAAACAAATTATAGAATAGCACGGTGTAAAAATGGCCCAAGAAGCATTGTGAAGGGAATAACTAGAATATATTTGGACATAAATGTTCAATAAATGGAAAACGCTCATGCCAAAGTGTGACCAGGGGGCAAAAGAAGCTTAAAGCTGCATGTTTTCCAGCAAAAGGCGCACTGAATATTCCCCGGGTGATCTACAGAAAGAACAAGCCTGAAGAAGTGAATAACGGGAAGTGCTAAGTGGTTTTCTTACCAGCCCCTCGCTCGACTTCAGGATAACGTTCATTTTGGAAGCAGCTTCGATGTTTCCAGCTGGAGCTTTGATATGAACCCCTTTAGGTGCGTCCATACTCAGAGAGCGGGTTGGGCACTCCAGCCTGCAGAAACACACCTCAGCTTGAGTAAAACACCAACACTCTCTCGTGAACTGGGTTTACTAGAATCAACAGCAAAGGCTTCATATTTTCTACTGTCGGTGGCTAATGGAAATAGTGTTCAGAGTTTCCCTGATGAATGTTGTTGTCACTAACTAGATGAAGGAGAAATGCTCACTTTAGGTCTTTGAAAAGTTCTGATCTGAGCTGAGGAACCTCCACCGAGTGCTGGAACACTGCTCCTTCAGGCCCTGATGGACACACACACACACACACACACACACACACACACACACACACACACACACACACACACACACACACACACACACACACACACACACACACACACACATTAATACCCCAACACATTAAACAATGTTGAATTGTGAGTGAATGGCTCCTTGGCTGCAGGATCAGACACACCCCAGGCCAGACGAGGCCATCAGCCGAGTGTGTGTTCAGCATAAATCAGTCGTCACACACAACATGTGATCAGAGGCTCAGAGCGCCTTTAACCCTCAGCCCTCCATCCTGGGGTAGATCTTATGGTTTTGAAGCAGATATGAATATTTATGAGTATTTAATGGATGTTTTGTTTGTTTATTTGGCTGACTGGTTGCAACGCATCTAATAAACCAGTGGATATTTTTGGTGTGGTAGTAGCTGAGAGTCAGTCACAGCTTATAATGTACAAGGTTCAAAACATTTATCTTAATAAGATTCGACAAAACCAGGTTAAAACCATCATACTCCAAAGGATTCATCCAGAAAGCCACCAGATTGACTCTGCTGCTCCTTTAGGTTGTTTTGTGTGAGGGGCTGCAGAAACCTCTGCTCCTTAATGAGCACTGCTAAATTTAACAATGCAGCAGATCACATGAACAAAATGAATAAATTCAAGGAGAAGAGGAGCGCAGGTGGATGCTGTAAACACAAATCAAAGTCAGCTCTTGAGTGAATAAGATTGCACCCACCAGTTCTGCACCTAAACATTATTATATTCGATTATAATTTGTTTAAAAGTTTAATTTTTGTCTTTAAATGACTAACTTAATTAAACACAATCCAGTATGGGCAAACGGCCGTGATTGTCTTTGCCCTTGGTGTCGATGATGTTTTCTAGGTAGCTCCTGCTGGTTTCACATCTGTCATCGGTGTTATCTTCTGCCCAGATCCAGTCGCTAACAGGTGTGTGCTAAATCTGAGAAAACAGCACGCAGCATCCGCCGGCGTACCTGTAACTCGTAGTTTGTCCGGACCGATTACAGTCTGCTCTCCATCTGCGCTGAACAGCATGTTGTCGTTCTGGGAGCTAATGAGCAGATTTGGAGTGTGTCCCCGAGCCTCTTTTGGACCTGCAGCGGCAAAAACGAATAAATAAATAAATATCTGGAAAAGTTTGGCAATGATGTGTGAATAAAATGCACCTATGGAAACAAATAATTGTCCTCTCACTTTGAGTCTTTTTAGTTTTCACGCTCTTTAGTGTTATTCGGGCATGAAAGGTTGGTAAACATCCACCGAGCATCATTTAAAAAGGTTTCAACCCAGAAGGGAAACCAGCAGTTCCATTAACAGTCACACTGAAGGGTATCATGTCCGGTTATTCTGTTTGCCCTTTGCTACGTCTGTGTTTCACATCCCTGTTAGATGAAAATCCCTCAGTGAGGTATTAAACCCACGTCTGCTGTCAACAGCACAGTCTTCCCTAACAAGCGATTTGGTTTGACTCTCCGAGGGCCCTGAGTGAGAATCCAGGCTTTTTACGGCTTAATGATCAAGGACACGTAATGGCACTGTGGAACACGGCAATTAGCTGGGTCATTCGCTGGCCTTCTAATCATGACAAAATATCCCGACGTGACCATTGTAAAAGATGTGCAAATATGACCCTCCACGGGGCTTGGGCCCTCCGTGTGAGACGGAACGATCCAGAAGCTGCAGCAGGGACAAACTGGGCCTGTAATGGCTTTTAAATGGAAATCTAAGAGATTATGAATTGACAGATGGCTTCTCGTCGCTGTTAATGTTGGATGAGGAATTCCTGCAGGGCAGGTACATGAACGGCTTTCCCGTCGCCCTCATACATCACATGGATATGTGTGTGTCAGTGTGGACACGCGTCCTCTTACCCACTGATGTCCTCCCCGTTACATTGCCTTTTTCATTGCGGGCATTGAGGAAAACATTTTCTGATGAGCTCACAACAAGTGAGGAGTCCTGAGGGAAGAAATAAAAAAAGATATTTGAGATGAATGATGACCTTTGACCCTAACGTTAACCAAGTGAGGCGTTCAATGCTTCAGAAGCTCTGGCGTCTTCAGAAAGTGCCCTGATTTGTTGCTTTTTGAGATCTTTTAACCAAATTCATGCTGTCAGACAGGTTCTGGTGAGCTGCTTTCTTTGAGGTTCGGGTCTGGCGTGAATCACTTCTTCATTGTTTGACACGAAAATTAATTAGCTGATCTGAAACATTTAAGTGTGACAAAAACAGGAGAAATCTAAAAGGGAGCAAATACTTTTTTACAGCAACAAAAACGTCAATAATGGTGTAGAGGTGAGCTAATTATTTCAGATGTTGCTTCCTTTAAGATCATTGAGGATTTCTTTCTCCTTTTGTTTTAAACTGAGATAAAAAAGGTGCAAATGTAGACTTGATTATTGAACCAGGGCTTTTAAAACAGCAAAACACGATAAAACTAATTTGCATGAACAGGCAAGAAAAAACAAGGAAACTTAAATCACTTCTGTTCCCACGCTGTTGTAGAGATTATGTTCATTAAAAAACTCACTTCTGAGAAGGTGACGGGCGAAGTCACCAAACCAATCCATGAGAATGTGCATCCATCTAATGAAGGATATATTGCCTCTTTAATGAGGCATGTGAAGTTTTAAAAAATGCTGCTATGAGCAAGAAAAGCCATAACATGTAAACAACTGCAGCAAAGTGTTCCCATCTGCTGTGAGCAGGCAGGCCATAAACTACTCCCCACCGCAAATATCCCTGAGGTTAATGGGGAGCTGAGCGCTTCACCATGTGCGCAGTGCAGGACTGCCAAATTCTGTTTGCTCTGACACATCCCTCAAAAAAAAATCATAATACAATGTGAAATATGCCGCAAACCAGAGATAGAGAGAAAAAAAACTGCATGTGTGTCAGCGAGGAATTTGATTGAGAAGATAGCAACACGTGCAGTCGGCACACATGCGGCTCACCATCAACACCAGAGCTTAGAAAGCAGCGAGCTGAAGTCACAAGTGGTTAAATGATCAGGGGAGGGGAAATGAATTGGAGGAGGAGAGGTGAGAAGAGGGAAAATGTGACTGTTTTTGATGATCTTACTTCTCTTGAGTGGATCTCTTCGGCGTAGACGGGGAAAAGAAACTCTGACTCGCCCTCATCCAGCTTGATCCCATCAGGGTTAACGTGCAGGAGTCCCATCCCTTCCTACAACAAACAGGAATCAGCTGAATGAAGCCTAAATAAACAGGAATCCCTAAAGAGCCTGTAGCTGTGTTTCTTGTTCAGCTCATGTGATAGACTCATAGAGGATGTGTGTGTGTGTGTGTGTGTGTGTGTGTGTGTGTGTGTGTGTGTGTGTGTGTGTGTGTGTGTGTGTGTGTGTGTGTGTGTGTGTGTGTGTGTGTGTGTGTGTCCTTGTTTGTTGCATCTCTCTTTGTGCATAAATCCAGAGCTGCCATCTGGACCTGAGACAGAAAAGCTGACGAGACTTCTTGAAATGACAGATTCACAGCTCTGTTCAGACGACCGAGAACCAGCTAATAATAAATATCGCTACTGACAGTAAGCATGTTACAGTGGTGTATTTCGGTCATTCTGGAGCAGATTGTTGTGTAAACATTATAAATAATAACCATTGAACCCATTGCTCCTGAACATCCTCGGTTCAAATAAATAGTTCAAATACAACGTGACTGACATGCTAACGGCTAGACTGAGCGTATTACTAAAAAGATTTTACAACGACTCAGGAAAACTTTTATTTACAATCCTTTCCACCACTGCCCATTTCCTATCACACTGATTTTGCCAAGAATATTAAAGCAGCCCATCAGCAATTATTATCTCACCTCTAGAGAACAACCTCAGCTTAGAGAAACAGAGATTGATTCTGATCTTTCTAACAACAAGGCCAATCAAAAAGCGGTTTAAAACAAATCCAACCTCAAAAGTGTCACATTCATTTATGCAAATGCTGTTTTCTAACTATCAAGATTTATTAGTGAAATCCAGTCAGACGAGCTACAGCGGTGATGCAAATAATCACAGAACCTTATGGTGATATCCAAGTTTATGTGAAATAGCATTCACACAAACTCCCATGAAAATTTTTGAATTAAGAAGTTCATCAAAGAAGCTATCTACAGTGGATGAGGTTGTTATTCTTTACAATTTTCACACAGAAACACCGTGACAATGTAGTGTATCAAAATAAACACAGACAATCACAAAAGAGCAGTGTCTGACACTCAAAAGGTCGCTACTGTTTTCATGCGCACCGTGTTGAACCACATCACCCGGAGGATCCAGATGGTGAGGGCGAAGTTGACCACCAGGATGACGATGAGCAGCAGAACAAACAGGTAGAGGCAGCGCTTCCTCCAGCCGTAGATACCGATCTTGTAGACCTGGTCGGGTGGCAGCCGGGGCGAGCTGCTGCCCTGGGTGGTGGTGATGTACTGCTCCCGTTCCATCTGCACTTTGACAGGTACAAAACAGAAACAGAAGATTTTTTAGTGTGATTGGACCTGGAATGATGCAAAGTCAGTTATCAAAGGTCAGAGACGAGATGTACAGAGCTTTCTATATTTCTACATGCATGTTGTAGAGGGCAGCAGAAATAAATATGAGATGATTTTGCTGTTTTCAAGATCCTGCAGGAGCAACAGGATAGTTTGGTGTGATTATATGTTATTTTTTATCTTCCAGTTATGAGCATTTGAATTTAAAACAAACATAAAGAGAGTCCGACCAGCTAAAACTCCATCATCTTTCATCAGATTTATATTAAAATGACTCTAAACAACAAACAACCTATAATCACAGTGTGTAGTATGTTTCATTTACAGGAGCACACAATGAAGAAGACTTAACATTTTCCTGAGGTTTGTGATGTATTTATGTAAAAAGATGCTTTTTGCTGCTGTTTCTAAAACCTGCCATCTCTGTGATTAAATAGCAACTTAAATTTTTTCTGCATTCTAGATATAATCTCCAGATCAGATGTTTGTTTCTAATCAATTTAATCCTTTTCATTTTGAGTCAAACACTATAGTTTTTTAATTATGTTGACATCAGGATGCAAAAACACGCTACAGTGAGATCTGAGGAGCTGAATGAAAGCTAGCTCTGGGTGGATTTTCCTCTCAGACACACCGACTTCAGAGCTCCTGCAGGACTCACAAACAAAATGTTAGTTTCAGCTCTTTTTCTGGTCTTCCAGCCTGATTTTATAAAAATAACCAGCCTAATGGCACATCTCCATACTGCCTCACTCACAGGGTGTGCGTTTTGTGATTCATGGGCTCAGATTTTGTGCACAGACGCAGTGGATGGGATCATTCTGCCAACAGGAAAAAAAGTAAATTTCCATCAGCGTTTCAGAAAGGCAAAGGAAAATACAGCATGTGAAAGGGCAGAGGCGGTGCTTTCTGGTTCCACGGCAGCAGGCTATCTGTGACTAAAGCCAAGTTGATGAATGTCAGCATATTTGGAATCACAGTGGGGTTTATAGCCTGAGTTAAAGCACAGTGGTTTTCTGTGTTCATGTCACGTGGGGGCTGAGCGGCTGCAGGACCTGCGAGCGAGCCCCCGGTCGGCACATTAACACCATCTGACACGGTGACAACGGGGAAAGATCTCACAGCGACAAGGAGAGAGTGTCAGAGCACAACAGCCTCGCAGACCTGCAGCAGGAAGAGCAGGGCCGCCTTATGTTAATAAATTTGTGTTCATGATCTAAAACCTGCTGCAGAAAAACAGAAAACAAAGCAGCTGAAGATCTTCACAAACAAAGATCTTCTCTCAGCACACGCTTCTAAATCTGCCAGGCTCAGATTTACAAACAGGACAGATGTTGGGTGTTGCTGCCACAGTAAAAAGGTGTTCTCCGTCATGTTTAAGGAGACGCCTCTCAGACCAAAACGTAATTCTTCCTTGACACTAACAGATGTTCAGCCGGGCTCATCGTCTCTCCGCGGCCCCCCTGTGTGGAGGGAAGCTGACAGAAACAACACGTGGAGGCAAACTGACTGTATGAACAATCTGACATAAGTTTCTGTAAATGATGACGGTAAACACCGTTTGGCCGAGGAGTGATGGGCGAAGGCAAAGCAGACCTCTCTCTGAAAGCCACCAGGAGTTCCTTGTTGCCTGGCTGTAAACACCAGGATAAAAGGCTCAAGAGCACCGCTACAACCAGATCTGCCTCTCCACAGGACCTGTCACATGGCCTGGAGGCCTAGCAGTGATGAATGGCCCCTCTTTCACAAACAAACAAATGAACGTTGGCTGCAAATGGGAAGAAAAAATGACAGTGATATCTCCACGGAGGAGAGGAGAGGAAAGAGGCTCGATAAGGAGGAAGTTGTGTGGAAAAGCCAGTTTTTCATCCCTGCATCTTATCTTATTTCTATTTATTAACCATAAGTGAATAATAACGATTCACAAAAGCAGCCATCTTTTCTCACCAAGATGCTGAAAAGTAAAAGTTTGAACCTTTCAGGCGTTTGTTTGGTTCCAGCATCCACACTCCTGACTTGTTCGTCAGCTCTTTGTTCATTACTCTGTTAATGAATCAGCTGTAACCAAGTTGAATTGCTTTAAATGAACACATTAAGTGGTGAATCCTCCACTCTGCACAAAAAAAGAGGAGGCGGTAGCTCTGAGGTTGGATCTTCAGCTCCAGTTTCAGTCTTTCCACCGGCCACAGACTGATCCCTCCATAGCAACCCAAATAAACACTCCGCCTCACTACCATCAGGGATGTTTTTATGTTTATTATTCATTTTCATTAGGTTTTTATTTGCTTCTGAATCTAAAATCCTACAAAACCATCTGAGATGATGCAGCATTTAGGTGGGTTGTTTACTCATCAACACTGTCTCAACCATGACGTCCCCTGTCCTTGTCCCTGGACTAAACCAGACTGTCCCCACACAGTTGTAAATGAGAATCCAGGTTTTCCCAAAGGTCTGAGTCAAGCCTTGACCAAATGGTCCTCCGGCGGGTTTCAGGCACTTAGAAAAGGTCAGATTTGTAAGGCAAAGAGCGTTTAGAAGGGAAATACTCCAAGGAGTTGTGAGTTGAAGTTTCTGTCTGTGTGGTGAGTGGCCGGCGTCGTACGTGTCTCCATGCTGCTCTGATGCCTTAACTTCTAAAAATAGGACACAAGTGTTGTGAGCTACAGTTTAACCAAAAGCACCAGGAGAAAAAAACAGGCACACAGATGAGCACTTAGAAAACAAACATTTGGTTATTATAACACAGAGGCGAGCCTTCATTTCTAATGGATGATTTTGTGTTGCAGCACTTTTGGCCATGTAGGGTAAAACTGCTCACAGCTGGCTAACCAA